CATCGCATAGCTGTAGGAGGACCTTCTGACGAACTTGGATGGGCTTCTGAGCTGTCCTGGTCTGCTGAAGCTTGGCTGAAGTGGTACGATTCCTCATCATCGGACACCAGCAAACCTGATTCAAATGCCTCAGCAGTCGCCTCTGCAAAAACCAAGTTTCTAGCATCCCCTGCTCTGAGATTATACGCTGTTGCTTTCGCCAACGGAGTCACTGGATACCCAAGCCTCGGCGGCGGCGTCGCTGGCCGAGGTCTGGCCGATGAGGCACCAGCAAGCCTGGGCAGCGCTGCCTGGCTCCTCTCGGGCTCTTCTTCTGGAATCACAACTGGTCGCTGTCGGTGACGTATTATGGCAACATATCGCTCATTGCCAGTCTCCTTCTCAAGAAGCCCTGCTCATTCTCATCAAGCTCATCATGAAGAATACTCCACCATAACGGCCAGCAAACACTGCGTGGGTTCGTCGTCTCAACAAACTCATGGCTTGCGCGTGAGTGAACAAACCCAGGTCTCCGCCATTGCATGTACTCGGTGACAGAAAGTTCAAAGGTCCAAAGTGGCTCAGGCTGTTGCTGAAAGTTAAGCAAAACATCGCTGCCTTCAGACTCCGCCTCCTCACTGGAGAACTCTCCACGTTCCACCTCAGACCATTCCGGAGTGTCACCGTCAGCTCGCATGGGGATTTCCGAGATGCTCGGATTATTGTCGCTGTCGCTGTCTGGCTCATCATTCAAGTTTTTTGTTTTTGAACCGTCGCCTCTTTACTACATCAGCAGCGCAGTAGGCCGTCCTTGTGGGTCTCAACACTAGAGGTGAAACAGTCGCAGGCGCGAAAACCGAAACAAGCACACCAAAAACACCACCAAACACAACCACAAAAACCCGCAGCAACCCGCCAAAGCCAAAAGCGCCAAACGTCAAACTGTACAAGCCAGCAAGTGAAAAAGAAGTCGTGACTACAAAGAAGCAACCGCTAGCGCAGAGGCCCTTATTGCAAGACAACTTAACGCCCGGCCAGCATGGTGAGACCAATGCAAACAAGAACCTACCTGCACCAATCACTCAGCAGCCCGTCACCCAAAGCAATGCTGCGCCACGTCTGGTACAGACATTAAGCGAAAGTATGGGTAGGCCGTAAGGCAAGGAACCTCCGTCACCTAAACTGCTCAACGCGTCCGTAGAGACAGTCCCCACACAAGCGCAAGGGGCTGGTGTGGCTACACTATGCTGCAGTCTGCGCTGTGTGAGTCCGGGCGTCCTCACGTGGCTATGGCCATCGGGCAGGTACCGGGAGCCTATCGGCTTGGCGTGCTTAGCCTGGTGCAGTATAAGGCCCACAAGGCTGCTTAACGGTCTGCAGCCAACCGCGCGTCAAGTGTGAGAGTCAAGGGGCCTTAGAACTCGGAGCCCCGCGCAGCAGGAGCACTTCAAGCAGGTTTACCCCGTGACCACACCTGATGCGGAACCCACTTTGCACTAGGCCTAGTCACTTCTGGACCTGCTGGGATAGGTCGAAGCAGCAGTTTCTCACATCCCTTCTAGGCCTTCTGGTGAAGGTTCCGGTAGCCGTTTGTAGGGCTTAATCACTTCTGCGCCTTCTGGAGAAGTTTGAGGCAGCAGTTTGAGGCCTACTCACTGCTGGGCCTTCCGGAAAGTTTTAGGCAGCAGTTTGAGAGGCCTAATCACTCTGAGCCCTCCAGGGAAGGTTGAGGCAACAGTTTGAGAAGCCTAATCACTTCTGGGCCTTCAGGCAACTGTTGGGACAGCAGTTTGAGAGGCCTAATCATTTCTGGGCCTTCTGAAATCTTGAGGCATCAGTTTGAGAGGTCCACTCACTGCTTCTGCTTGCCACAGCGCAGGAGGGCGGGCGCCCTCCTGGCCGGAGTGAGACTGCAGGCAAGGTGCCCAAGATGCCTGTCAATAGATGCGGCGTCCATTGCTTGGCATCCAGAAACTTAAAGATACTGTGGTCCCTCAACTGCCCCGCGCAGCGGCCGATTTTTGCGACTGCAAACCTGTCACAGAATGGGCAGTTTGCGCAAGACGATACACATCTCTCCTGCTCACAGGTCCTGTGAGAGCCGATAGGCTCGTTATATCTCTCCGCCTTGCTCTCAGGTCCCGCAGGTCAATAAGCTTCAGGCTTGAGATCTTTCTCCCTGCTGTTCCCGGGTCCGGAGAGCCCATAAGCTTCAAGTTTGCGATTTATCTGCGTGCTGCTTACACATCTCTGCTGCTCTCAGGTCCTGTGAGAGCCGAGGCTTACGCTGGGTGTGGGGCAATTCTTCGCATTAATAGGCAAAGAGCTGTGTAAGCCACACAGTGAGCAGCACAGCTCTCACGCATGCAGGCTGGTCTAGCCACACAGCAGCAAGCAGCAAAGCAACCGCACGCGAACTGGATACAAAAACACAAACCTTTGCTGCGTTCTCGCTCTTACTAGCAGACAAAGGTCCGCGCAATGCGCAAAGCACTTCCTTGGCGTTCTCGCTCTTGCTAACCAAGAGAACGCACAAACAAACAAACACCCACCTCCCCTTCCACAACGGCAAAATCAACACAAGCAACATTTTGCGCCCTTCGCCAGGAGCCTGACAGTGCAGTTTGAGCTGCCAGTCAAGAACGATGCACGACGTTCAAAAAACAAACATTGATCTCAGATGCGGCAAAAACATGCTTATCTTTACATGCACCGCAAAATTCAAAGATTTGGTAAAAGCGAAGTTTTTATAAGTCAATTGGCCTGCTTCTTCTTGTCCATCCCTCGAAATCAATGCACGGCACGGCTCTGGATTCTTCTTTTGCAAGCGCGTGCTCACAAGGAACTCCACAATGCTATGAGGTTCCAGACCAAGCCAACCTTCAACTGCGGACTTCCACCCCTTCCATGCTTTCCTAGCTTAACCATCTTGAGCAGACAAAGCTGCAAAGCTTCTTCAATTTGGCTTAGCAAGGAAAGTTCTTGCCTTGAGAAGGGTCCTTTGTTCGAGCAAGCCCCGCAATCAACCACTACTTGGAGACAGAACATTTTCCAACAAATTTGCAAAAAATAAAGTGCAGACATTGATGCCTTTCCCGCAACGTGTGTGTGTGTGTGTGTGTGTGTGTGTGTGTGTGAGCATGTGGTTGCAAAGTGGGTTGGTTTGGGGTGCGTCTTTGGCTTCAGTGTGCAAGAAAAGTGTCAGTGTGTGGGGTGATGGGTGCATGGAGTCTCAAAAGTGACACCAAATAAAAAAAACAGTGACCTTGCAGTGGTATCTGTGTGTGTTTACTTATTGTAAATGGTGTGTTGTGGTTTCGGCGTTTGGGGTTAGAGTCATGTATGTCATGAAGTGTAAGTGTGTGTTCATTATGTGCAAAGTGGCTTAGTGGGTGGTGTGTGTTTGCGTGTATGTCGGCTGGGTTCTGGCTGTTCAAGTGTGGAAGTGTGCGGGTGATGAAAGTGCGTGGATTTTGGAAACACAAAAAGAGGGCAAGAAATCATTCCAAAGGTAGAAAAGCCAAAGTGACCTCCACAGTGCGAGAAAGATCGCACGCGAACAATGCAAGACTGCTTTTTCTTGCGTGCCAGCTAAAGACAAGTTTAGCAAGCCAAGAACACGCGTATCAACGGCGTTTTTTTTGTTTTCTTAAGTGTTGATTCTAATTTTGGGGAAAGACTGACCACAAGACTAAACTGGAACCGACTGAGAGGCTGATTTGTTTTACTCGCAACGAGGAGCTGGCTTCCCGTGTGTGAAAAAAACGCCGCAACTGGGCCCAAAAACAATTTGAAGCTCCAACCTGCGTATGTATGTTCCAACAAGATTTTTTCGATTTGAGACTGTTTGCATCCCGGAACTTTCTCTAACTGTGGAGGTCACTGGAGCTTCCGGAAAAGAAGGGTGCAGAGTCAACAAGAACACTTGAACATGCAACATGTTTTTTTAAAATGGCTCGGTGGAACTGCAGCTTGGAAAAGTTCAATGCTTTGAAGCAAGTGTTTTTAAAAGCCTCTGACAGTGCCGTTGACAGAAATCAACTGCAGGACGAGACGAGTTCAACCGTGGTGTTGATTCGTTAAGGTTGCGCACGCCCAAGCCAAAACACTTGAAAATTGCAAAGATAACAGAATTTTTCTCTTGCTTTTGTTCAATGTTTTCTTTGTTTTTTGTTGGGATGGTTGCAAGCTTTTAGAAAGAGAGAGTTCCGCTCTGAACTAAAACAAACAGATTGTTCAGCAAATGTTTTGGTAACTGCTGTCAGTCCGGTAAGCTGTTGATTAACCAGAAAGACAGAGAAAAAAATCGCAATCGGAACCTAAATATATCCATGAGAATGTGCATGTTGTAGTTTCGGCTGTTTTTCTGAGTGTGCAAAGGCAAGAGTGTTGTGGATGTGTGTGTGTGTGAGCATGTGTGGTTGCAAAGTGGATTGGTTTGCGGGTGCATGTCTTTGGCTTCAGTGTGCAAGAAAAGTGTCAGTGTGTGGGTAATGGGTGCATGGAGTCTCAGAAGTGACACCAAATCAAAAAAACAGTGACCTTGCAGTGGTGTCTGTGTGTGTTTACCTTGGTTTTTCATTGTGAATGGTGTGTTGTGGTTTCGGCGTTTGTGGGTTAGAGTCGTGTGTGTCATGGAGTGTAAGTGTGTGTTCATTATGTGGGTGCAAAGTGGCTTAGGGTGGTGTGTGTTTGCGTGATGTCGGCTGGGTTCTGGCTGTTCAAGTGTGGTGTGTGGTGAAAGTGCGGGGATTTTGGAGACACAAAAAGAGGGCAAAAAATCAATTCCAAAAGGTGGAGAAGCCGAAGTGACCCACAGTACACACAAACAAAGCAGCCGTGATACAGTGCTCTTCTCTACATGCTTTCTGTCAAGGTGCGCTTATCAATCGCCTCGACGGCAGAGCAGCCGGCCTGTAGACTGCGCCGCAAAAGGAGGAATATCGCCGTGCTCACTGACGAACTGCTACGAGTGGCCGTTCCGCATCATCGCCCATTCGAATGTGCTGAGCTTGTAGCCCATGAACGGCGCAAAAGGCAACTCAGGTCGGAGGGTCCAATGTCTCAACCGCATCACTGGGCCCCCGAGCGCTGTGCCCATGGCGAAGACAGCGGTAGAAGGTAGGGTCTTTCTGGCCGCCGTAGACCAAGATCGGGGTGCCAGCATGCAACGGTGCCGGAGCCGGATGTGGGACTCTTACCGGGGCTGCGGTGGCGCCAGCCCCGATGCCCAACAGGAACTTTGGCAGGGACCGGTCTGGGGCGAGGTGGTGTCAATCACCGTGAGGGCAGCCTTGAGGAAGGCGCGTATTGTGGGGTTGTAAACGGCGGCCGTTCAATCACGATCAACCGGCGTTATACTACACACGGCAGCGCTACGTCAGCGCCCGGCGGATTCCTTTGCCTGTGCCAGATGGCCAGGCAATCTATGCCTTCCGCTTCCAAGATGATGCGAGGGCATGAAGCCAGGAGGGCATAAGGGATGGGGTGCTGCAGAAGTTCCGCCTCCGCGGCTTTAACGCGGAGGACTCCTTTGTGGCGCGCTTCCTTCCGGAAGGTCCTCCCGTGCCTTCAAGTTCAAGTTTCCTGCCGTGTCCGACGGGCATGATCCTCGTGTCCAGGGCTATGCTCCGGCCCTGAGTGACTTTGACTGGCAGGAGGGTGATCACTCCGATGTTGTAGGAAGACTGTGGAGGTGGGCCCCGAGAGTCCCGGAGCTGGGCCGCGATCGCTGTGGCCAGATGGTGGCCAGGAGATGTGAGAAACAAGATGGCGATGTCCAAAGGCAGTTCAAGATTGAAATCTGCGAGCTGAGGATGGCGGTGAGGCTAAGCAGGTGGCCACGTGGAAAGTCCAAGGCCACATCAATCACAGCTTCCAGAGCCTCGGGGACCAGCTCATGTTGTTTGCAGCAGTCAGAGCAGGTGAGGATGCTTTCTATGAAAGTATGCGTCTGATAGAGTGGCAGACGCAACGCGTCCTCCGAGAGATTCCCCTCAAGTTTGAGCCCAGGTACATCGAGGTCGAGTGGCCACGCGGGATCCTGTCAGGGAGCACGCAGACCTTTTTTACCTGCCGAATGTCTCGCGACTACACGGACACGGTTTTTCACTTTGCCACTCCGGAGACATGAGGGGACTCCACATGCAGCGGTCCTACCTCAGACCCTGCGCAAAGATTCTGCTGTCTACCGCCAGAGTGGTTTTTTTTTGCAATCTCTCGTTTCGTATTGATGCGAGTCCGAGGTAGGGTTTCGGGATCCAGGTGCGAGGTGTTTGAGGTTTCGGGCGCGCGTATGTGTGTGTGAACCATGCCTGAGGTGAGTGTCTTCGATCCATGCAACCCTTGTCGACCGTCGGCACATGAACTGAGCGTTCTGGTTCCGGTTCGTAGAGAATACGTGATAACACGTGGCCCTTTGTCCCCCAAGAGACAACGCAGACAGTAAAGTCATGTAGAAGCTCAACAAATGAATAGATTTCTCACCAGCCCGTATTTGACCCCCTCTAGTTTGGAGACCTATCCCAAGAGCGATGATCGAGCTACGGGATGCCAGAAGCTTTGAGGGGGGCGATGCCAGTCCCACGGCACCTCGGAAGGGCGTGAATGCCACGGCTGTCCTGGCGTGCACGTGTATCTTCATGCTCCTCGGCCGTGGCTATTGAATCTTCCCTCCCATCTTCTGGGAAGCGTTTAGGGTTTAGGGTTTAGGGTTTAGGGTTTAGGGTTTAGGGTTTAGGGTTTAGGGTTTAGGGTTTAGGGTTTAGGGTTTAGGGTAAGTATGATTCGGCAGACGAGCCAAGGATCTACGTGCTGCAAATGGTGGGGTTGGCCAAGATCTCACCCCACAACACCCAGGACACGGTGAGCGTGACCTGGCCGTGGCTTCGAGAGCGATCTGTCCTGCGTGCGTACTATGCGATCACCGACTCTCGTCCTGTCCCAGGGCAGGCCCAAAGCAACCCTAAACCCTCAAACCCTAAACCCTAAACCCTAAATCCTAAATCCTAAATCCTAAATCCTAAATCCTAAATCCTAAATCCTAAATCCTAAATCCTAAATCTCGAGCTTTCAAACTTTAAGCCCGAAGACCTCCTAGGAGATCGCCTACCTACCTTCTTTCGCCTGGGGACTGGTGGAGTGCTTGCGGTCGGCCGCTGTTGACCTCCGGATCCATGCCCGGTCTTGGTCGGAGTACACGAGACTTGGGGAGTCTGGAGTTTGGGATTCAGGGGTTTCAGGGCTTCGGGTTTCAGGGTTGTAGGGTTTTAGGGTTTTGGCGTTTAGGGTTTCAGGGTTGTAGGGTGTTAGGGTTTCAGGGTTTCAGGGTTTTTAGGGTTTTAGGGTTTCAGGGTTGTAGGGTTTTAGGCTTGAAGGGCTCAGGGTTTGAGGCTTTCTAGGAAGTTGTTCCGAAAAAAAGGTCGGAATAATTACAAATAGTACTCCCTTCGCTTTCCATAAGAACCCCCAAAACCCATGGAAGATCTGGGTGGTTTCAACCAGGAAGCTGATGGCAAGCCTCACACTTCTCTGTTTCTATCAACTCGCTGCCCGCATCCTCATGGATAGCATGGCGCGGGACTACGTCAACGGTGCCCTGGGGTCAGGGTTTGGGTTCACAGGGACCGCTGGTCAGGTCCGAAACCTGAAGTGCTGAACCCTGCGCCCCCAAACCCCAGGTGATTGTCGAGGATCGGGTGAACTCCCGAACTCTGAACTCGAAGACACCACGAATTTGGCATCCTTCCCACATCAACCCCCCCCCCCATAGGCATAACCATAAACCCTCGCCCCAGCTTTCCAATCTGGGTCCCCTGAAGGTGTCAACTTAAACGACCCGATGGCGGTTCTCGGGTTTGTGACAGGCCCTTTTCGGATCCCCCAGAAGTGGGGGACCGGGACCCCGAAGTCGCCAGTACTTCAGAGGGTTAGGGTTTCGGGCTCAGGGTTTAGGGTTTAGGGTTTAGGGTTTAGGGTTAAGGGTTTAGGGCAACCCTTCAAACCAACCCGAGGCCCCAAAAAAATTAAGCTGCCCTGAGCTCTTAACCCGACTTGGAGATCCATGGGTCCAAGTTGGGATGTTCCTCCTTAAACTAACAGTCCTTTATAGGGCTATTCAGCACTTAAGGGGGAACATCCCAAGGTCAGGTTATATGGGTAAGCTTATATGGTCACTTCTTAAGATGATGGTCCCTTTTTCGGTACCCTAAGTATTGGGGGCAACCCCAGAAGTTACCCCAAAAAGCTTGAAACCAGTTGGAACTATAGTTTCCCCACGCACAACTCTACTTCTATGTACATGAACCTCCAAGTACTGCCTAATCCCTCAAACGAAGGGACCCCACCGATCCCCTGCATGAGCAGCGATTCCGCGCTTCAGGGACAATTCAGGGGCTTTGCGTGGTATTCAGAGCCAAGGTCTGCTTTTAAGTACCGTAAAGTGTCTTAGGTTCCCATAGTATTCAGGCTATATTCCTTAAGGGCATCGGGTTTAGGGATGCTCGGCTTACGGTGTAGACTCTAAAACCCAAAACCCTAAACCCTAAACCCTACACCCTAAACCCTCAACCCTAAACCCTAAACCCCAACACTGGACCAAAAACCCTAAACAACCTTGGGAGGCAGCGCCCTCTCCTGGCTGATGCAGTGCCGACTCTTTGCCTACGCCGACCACATCATGGGCAGCCGCAGCCGAGGCATCTCAGGTTTGGGCTTTGGGGTTCTCCCCTAAGCCCTAAACCCTAAACCCTAAACCCCAAACCCCAAACCCTAAACCCCAAAGCCTAAAGCCGAAACCAAGACTAAGCTTCGAACTCTGAAGCCCAAACCTAGATCTGATTTTTGAGGCTGCTGCCGGCGGGCACGGGGCGTGCCGGTCGAGGCGGGTTAGGTTTGGAGTGTGGGTGTGGTTTAGCGATGCTTCGGCTTTAAAGAGTTTCTGGGTGCTGGTTTAGGGAGGGTTTAGGGTTTAGGGTTGAGGGTTTAGGGTTTAGGGTTTAGGGTTAGTTCGGGCAGGTTAGCATTCCCAGACCTTATAAAACCCAAAATTCCTAAACCGCAGGAGGACAAGCTTTGGGAACCGCCCCCCATGGCCTGCGGGTGTGTGGCTGCTGCCGTGCCTTGCTTGCAGGGCTGTCAGGGTGTAGGGGTTTTAGGGTTTATGGAACGATGTAGTTTCATTTTTCTGGGCTTCAGCACCCAAGGCGTTGCTGATTGGTCTGCGTGCCTACCACAGCGGAGTCCTGCTGCTGTTTCACAAGGCCCCCCACTGGCTCTCGACTCTGGCACGATTCTCGCGCATCCTGTACCGTTTTCTGATGGGTGGCGCGCACTTCCTGCGTGCTCGAGCCTACTTGAAGCAGCCCCTCAGCAATCGTCTCAGCGGCCAGATGAGGACGGCACCCCTCAACTGCGAACTGCTGAGACCCACTGGCCCCCTGAGGCGAAGTGAGCGTGCCCCATCCTCTTGCTTTCCGTTCACTCTTATCCCAAGATGCTGAAAAGGGGCAGGTCTCAGGTTCAAGTCCTGCGGTCCTTCGCGAAGGCAGATGTCAGCGATAGATAGAGATATATATATATATATATATATATGTATATATACACATAGTTTCGAAGTAGTTAGAATTACATAACGCTATAAACAACTATATAATCACAGATGTAGCCAGCGCAACAAGACTCGACTGGAAAATCGAGGGCTGATCTGCATGACCCTCCCCCCCCCCCCCCCCCCCCCCCCCGTTCGCGATCACTTTTCCTACCCTGAACCCTAAGCCCTAAACCTTAAACCCTATTAGGAGGCTTTCACGGTTGACCTGCCCTACATTTTGGAGGGCCTATTTTTGAAACAGGACCCAAGGTTTTAGTTTTTTTGGAGGGGCGGGCGCCGAACCATCAAAGCCGCGCTTTAGGAGCAATATGGCCACACTGAGCCAGATGATGGTGGTTGCCATCGTGCTTGGCACTTCGACTGACCTGCTGGTGGTGGCAAGGGGGGTCGTGGTGCCGAACCAGTTCTCCCAGGCAGGGGGCTCCTGGTTGAAGTTTTGGGGAGTGTACGCTGGGATGTTCCCCTTATAGGAACAGTCCTTAATAGGGATTAAGTACCGATCCCCATGTAGGACTGTTAGTATAAGGGGAAACATCCCAAAGTGTGTGCGGCCACTTCCGGGTGTGGTGCAGGAGTTGTGTTTCGAGCCCGTCCAAGGATTTCACAGATGCCGAGATGGACACCCTGAATGACCTCTTCACGCAATGGCTGCCGGTCACCCTGCTCATTACTGGCACGATCGACAAGCGGGCACCCCAACCTCACATGAACGACCTGCGGGCCTGCGGCTTTACGAACGGCCTGGTGCTCTTCTTCCTGTACTTGGGCACGCTGCTCTTTGGAGCCTGGGGGGCTCGCGCCATCCTCTTCGCCTCCACGCCGGCGGCCCGCAAGGTCGCTGAGCTGGGGGGAGGCCCCCTGGCCCTGGCCAAGGCAGGTGCGGGCATGATGTACTTTGCCATGCCGGTGCTCTTTGTAACGGTCCTTCCATTCATGGTCAACCTCGTGCACAAGGCCACGAACGTTTCCGTGCCGATGTGGCCCGGCGAGGGCCTGACGTTCATCACGTACCACCGAAATGCAGCGCACCTCTTCGTGCTAGCTTTGCTCTTGCATGCCGCCGGACACATCTGGTCCTTTGCCAAGGCGGGGAGCGTGGAGCGGTACACCACGATCCTGTGGAAGGGGGACCGGTATGCTTGGCTGTGGCCATGGGCAACGGGAGTTCTCCTTGTCTTGCTGGGGCTCAGCCTATACTTATCTTACTGGGCAATGAAGCGACAATGCTACGACTTCTTCATCCGGAACAAGCGCGTCTTGGGGTCCTCGCTCTTGGTGCTCGCAGGAATTCACGGCTTTACCGGCAACTTCGGCCCGCCGCGGCTCTGGTGGTTCATGTCCCTGCTCTTGTGCCTCTGGCTCATTGACCGGACGGTGAAGAGGTCAAGGGCCAGCCAGATCAGCTGCCGCCAGCAGGTCCTCAAGATGCTCAACGCGCAGGGCCGCTTCAATGGAGCCATCCTCGTGCTGAGGTCGGAAGACACCTTCCTCGAGGCCGAGCCCGGCGCCGTGCTCCTTCAGGTCGTGGGCGTGAATGGCCGTCACCCTCTGACGCAGATAGCCTACCCAGCGCCAGGAAGCCGCCGCTGGCAGGTGGAGTACCACATCCGCCTGCAGCCCAACGCCGAGAAGCAGAACTGGGCCCACCGCCTCTACGACCACGCCCGTGCCCGAGAGGGCACGGAGGAGGCCATTCAGCTGGAGGTGGCTGGGCCCATGAGCTCCCTGGGCACTTTCGGCCAGGAGGAGCTGCTTAGGGACGTGCACCGGCTCCTGTTTGTGGCTATCGGGGTTGGCTTCACAGGCTGCGTGCATCCCTTGTTCCACGCCTTCGAGGCGGGGGCCTGCAAGCCACGCAAAGTGCTCACAACAAGCCCATTCCAACCCCAGGGCCCCGAACAAAGCCTTCGCCCCCCTAAACCCTAAACCCTAAACCCTAAACCCTAAACCCTAAACCCTAAACCCTAAACCCTAAACCCTGAACCCTGAACCCTGAACCCTAAACCCTAAACCTAAACCCTAAACCCTAAATCCGAAACCCTAAACCCTAAAACCCTAAAGCCCCAAAACCCTAAAACCCTAAAACCCTAAACCCTAAACCCAAAAACCCAAAACTCAGGCTGGCATCCCGGCGGAGGCCATGCGCCTCTGCTGCCGCACCCCCTCCCCCGCCTACGCGGACGCGGTGGAGCCCGTGTGTGCCGCGTACGGCCTGCGCCGCGGGGATCAGCTGAAGATCTCCATCAGCGAGGCTTTGGGCCCAGTTCTGCAGGGTTCAGCTGAAAAGAAGGGCCCTAGACAACCCCCCAAGCTGCCCAAACTTTCGGCCCCTATGATTAACCCGAAACCAGGAGACTGCTGGTGGAAGGGCCGACGAGCAGCAGAGCCGGTCGCAGTGGAGCAAGATGCTAACATCGGAGGCAGATTCGGAATGCGGTCGTTTTGGGTTTGGGGTCGTGGGTTCAGGCTTCTGGGCCGTCGAGTTTTTTGATCTTCAGGATTCTTGCCCTAAACCCTAGACCCTAGACCCTAAACCGAAACCCGAAACCCGAAACCCGAAACCCGAAACCCTAAACCCTAAACCCTAAACCCTAATCCCTAGCGGGTCTTGGAGTCTCGAGGTTCAGGGTTTCGGGTTTCACGGGGGCAACCGCGGCATGGCAGGTGGATGCCCTTTCACGTGAGGGGAAAGGTCTGGTCCTCCTCTTTGTCTGCGGCCCATCTCCGGCGGTGCAAGGTGTGCAGAATCTGCTCCCTGGTTTTATGGGGTTTTGGGGTTTTGGGGTTTTGGTGTTTGGTTGGGTTATGCTGGGAGTTTTCATGATTTGCTAAGCTAAAAGCTCCAAACTTAATCCTCAGCTATGCTTCTTGCCCGGTTTCCTTGTACTCCAGTGCAGAATATCACAGACTCTCCCTGAGTTCCCACTTGCAGAGAATCCTGCATAATTATTCATATCCCTTTCGTGTTCGCCCAGAGAATCCGATTCGAAACCCGGAACCCTAAACCCTAACCCCTAAACCCTCAACTCTTTCCCTCTAAACCCTAAGCCCTTAACACTAGTGTCCCTGATCTGTCCCTGGTGCTCCCACTTCGCTAGACTTTGTACACAGAAGTTCCTCCTGCAAATCAAACTGCTTCGTTCTTGAGATGTCCACTTCGACAGCGTGATACTCTGTAGTTCAGGGGAGTAACTTTTTTGAACTAAACCCGAAACCCTAGACCCGAACCTTTGAACCCAACATCCCACGACGCCCCAAAACCCTTAACCCTGACAGCTGGAGTTTAGGGGCTTGAGGGTTCCCTCCCCTCCCTCACAGGGGAGAAGTTTTCTTCAAACAGCCCCCTAATCTCGAAGCTGCACCCCAAAACTCCTAAACCACCAGGAAATACTTTGGACCAGTCATGCAGCATCACCTTCTTCACCTCTTGTGCTGTGCATTTGATATTCAGCTGTGCCCTCCAAAACCCCAAACCCCTAAAGCGCAAGCCGAAACCTGGGCCCCTCTTAGGGTTTAGGGTTTAGGGTTTCGGTTTTAAAGCCCTAGACTCTAAACCCTAAACCCTAAACCCTAAACCCCAAACCCTAAGTTTAGGGTATAGGGTTTAGGGCCGGCCGAGGTTCCTGGAAGACATGCGGGTTCGAATGATTGCCGAGGCCTTCGGGTAGCGGTGGGGTTAGGGTTTAGGGTTTAGGGTTTAGGGTGGCAAGCACCAGTTTCAGAGGCTGAGACCCAGCCGCACCCACGCGGTGGTTTCCAGGAGTGGAGCCGGCGGGCACGCATTTCGGGAAAGTCTGTGCAGCGTTGCTTCATGTGGGTTCGGGGGCTGGGATGCTTGTGGCCTCTGGAGACCATGCTGTTCCGGAGCTGTAGGGAACTGCATTTGCGTGCGAAGGGCAATGAGCAGGTCCCGCCTGCCGCATAACCTGTCTTTTTTCCTCTCAAGCCGCTGGGCGAATGTTTGGGAGTTCAAAGCCGGGATTCCTGAGCACGAAAGGCCAAACTCCCGAGTCCGTAGCCCTGAACCCCACAACCCCAAAACCCTACACCTCAAACTCTAAACCCCAAACCCCAAACCCCAAACCCTACACCCTAAAACCTGAGATCCTGATCCTGGAGCCCCCCCTGAACCCGAAACCCTAAACCCTAAGCATCCCTTAGCCCTAAGTCCTAAACCCTAAACCCGAAACCCTAAACCCCCAACACCGACCCTCCGAGCGGGTTTAGGTTCTTAGGGTGCTGCATGGCTGCATGGGTCCCCATGCCTGACCGCAGCGTCGATGCAAGGTCCCCTCTCCCTGTTCTTTCCTTTTTGGGGGGTTTAGGGTTTAGGGTTTAGGGTTTAGGGTTTAGGGTTTAGGGTTTAGGGTGGGGCATCCTGGGGGTTGAAGTTCGGAGGGTCCAGGCTTCCAGGGTTCAAGGGTTTCAGGGTTTCAAGGTTTCAAGGTTTAGGGTTTAGGGTTTAGGGTTTAGGGTTTGGGCTTTAGAGTTTCGGGTTTCAGGGTTCCAGGGTTTTAGGGTTGAGGGTTTCAGGGTTCCAGGGGTAGGGTTTGGGGTTCAGGCTTTGGCATTGGGGCTAATCTAGGTCTGGGGTTGCTCCGCAGAAGAGACACAAAATAGCCACTTTAACGCAGCATGCCTTCTGCAACTGATCGCGAGCACTCGATTGTGGCTCTTGATTCAACAACGATTTTGCAGATTTCCTAAACCCGAAACCCGAAACCCTAAACCCTAAACCCTAAGCTCCTAGTCAAAGGATCTCCAAGAGAGCAAGAGGGCACCCGACTGCTCGTTTCTGGATGCCAGGCCATGACAAGACAGGCGAGCTGGAGCTGGAGGAGGATCTGACCCCCCCCCCCCCCCCAAGGGTTTAGGGTTCATGGGGTTGAGGGTGTATAGGGTTTAGGGTGTATGGGGTTGAGGGTGTATTTAAGGGTTTGGGGTTTAGGGTTGAGGGTTTAGATTGCATATTCCCCGATAGCATCCGGGAACCTTCATACTGGCATACTCCTGAGCCAAGCCATCTTGGAAGATCGGTGCCTTTGTCTCCAGGCACCAAAAGCCCAAACTAAGGGTGCAAGCGCCCTAAACCCTAAACCCTAAACCCTAAACCCTAAACCCTAAACCCTAAACCCTAAACCCTAAACCGAAGCCCCAAACCTTAACCCTGAAACTCTGAGATGTTTGCAGGACCTCTGGCCTTGCCGCACCTTCAAGGCCCGAGCCCGTAGGGCCCGAAACCCTAAACCCTCAAACCTAAACCCGAAACCCTGAACCCTAGAACCCCCCCAAACCCTAAACCCTAACCCTAAACCCCAAACCCTCAGCTCTGGGGTTGTTAGGTTCAGGGTTCACTTGAAAGATTGAGGCAGGTGTTGGGAGTCGAGATTTTGCTGCATTTGTTTGTACTTATGCTGATTATTATTATTATTATTACGAATATGATGAGTATTATTATTTTTTACTACTAATATGATGAGTACTATCATGATTATTACTACTATTATTATATTTTCTACTATTACTATTATTACTATTACTATTATTACTATTATTACTATTATTACTATTATTACTATTATTACTATTATTACTATTATTACTATTATTACTATTATTACTATTATTACTATTATTACTATTATTACTATTATTACTATTATTACTATTATTACTATTATTACTATTATTACTATTATTACTATTATTATTATTATTATTACGATTCTTATCATTAGTTTTTGCTTTTGTACTACTATGATTATTATTACTACTATTATTACTATTATTACGATTCTCATTATTAGTTTTTGTTTTTGCACTACTATGACTATTATTATTATTACCATTATTATTATTATTTTTACTACTACTACGACTACTACTACTACTATTATTATTATTATCATTATTATCACTTTTATTACTATTTAGTACTATTGTGATTAGTATTACTGTTGTTCTCAGTAGTTGTGGAGGGTTGAAGGTTGAGGGCTTCGCTTGCTTTGGGACCCAGGCTTCCAGGGTTACAGCGGGTGTCCCCTCCAGGCGACCACACGACACCTAGCCCTACACGAGGAAAGACCCTTGAACCCCTGAGCAGGTATGAGGGCTTCTGAACCTTAAAGCAATGATTGCTGGGATCACGGCTCCAGGCGGGCTGCTGCCCCCTATAAACCCAGCTCCCACCTCATCATAACAATCATAATCAAAATAACAATCGTAATCATAATCATATTCATAATCAGAATCATAATCATAATTATAGTAGTCTAATAAACACACGAGTAAGTAAATAGATTGATAAATTAAAAAACGCATAAACAAGTGTATAAATAGATAAATTAGGCAAATAAACAAAAAAACAAATACACAAATACATAAGCTACTTGATTAAGTAATTAGCTAAACTAAATAATTAATCAAGTAATTAATTCATGAATGCAGTAAGTAATTAATTCAAGAACCCCTAGCCCTAAACCCTAAACCCAAAAGACTGCCCTGCACGCTAACCTCCCAGAACAAAGTGTCCCACGGAGCAAAGCATTGTTGTTGGCCTGGTAGTTCCTTGGGTAGCCGTGCCAGCCGGCTCAAGCCGCCGACCCCGCTGGAGCATAGTTGAAAGGTTTAAACGCGCTCGTCAGCCCAAAGGATGCCAAAAGTTGATTTGCTTGAGCCTCTGTGAAACGTTGGGGGGGGCGGGGGGGTAGGGGGTAGCACCAGGAGCTGAAGCCAGCTTGAAGGCAACAAGCCAAGGGGGGGTGGGGCGGGGTAGGGGGGGGGGGGTAGAGGGGGGGGTAGGGGGGGGGGCCCCAAAGGACTCCCATGTCCTGGCTGTCCATGGAAAAGCTGCCCGGGTACCCCCCCCCCCCTTTTTTTGGGGGGGCAAGGAGGGAAAGAGGGAGGTTTTCACCTCCTTTTCCATCCAACACGCCGCCAGGGTCGGGGGACCCTAAACCCTAAACCCTAAACCCGAAACCCCAAACCCTAAACCCCAAACCCTAAACCCTACACTGCAACTTCAAGCCCCAGAGCCCTTCGTGCACAGGCCCGGGAGTGGGCGCACTCCCTGCAGCAGACGCAGGGCACCCATGAGGCACCGTTGAGGGTTTAGGGTTTAGGGTCTAGGGTTTAGGGAGGGAAGTAGGGAAGTAGGGAAGTAGGGAAGTAGGGAAGTAGGGAAGTAGGGAAGTAGGGAAGTAGGGAAGTAGGGAAGTAGGGAAGTAGGGAAGTAGGGAAGTAGGGAAGTAGGGAAGTAGGGAAGTAGGGCTTAGGGCTTATTAGGGTTTAGGGTTTAGGGTTTAAGGTTTAGGGTCTAGGGTTTAGGGAAGTAGGGAAGTAGGGCTTAGGGCATAGCAGCGGTGAGGCTTCGGGGCCGGGAGGTGTAGGAGGGCATGGGAGTTCGGGGCTGGCGGGCTCATGCGCAGCTCTTCGGAAGGTTTGCTAACATGGCCTGCCCCAAATCTTGTCCCTCCTCTCTGCTTTTCTCTAGAATCTAGGAATCATCAGAATCCCATCCTAACCTATCATGATTATCCTTTAAGGGCTTGATCCAGAGCCTTACACGCTTGAAGCACGATTGTCCCCTCAGAGGTATCTTTCATACTAGAACCTGTCAAAAGCAGCCCCTAGATTAAACCCTAAACCCTAAACCCTAAACTCTAAACCCTAAGCCCTAAACCCTACCCCCAAACCCTGAACCCTGAACCCTAAACCCTAAACCCTAAACCAAACAATGTGCAAGGCCGGCGTTAAACGGCTCCTCCGCACCCTCAAGGCGCAAGCCTGTGTTTGGGGCGGGGGTTGGAGGGGCTTGAGGCAGAATTTAGGGTTTAGGGTTTCGGGTTTCGGGTTGAGGGGTTCGATTGAGAGTGTTTCGGGTTCAGAAGTAGGCTCTAGGGCTCAGGGTTTCAGGGTTGCCGTTCGTTGAAGTGGTTGAGTTGAGAGTTTGGAGGTTCGAGGTCAGGATCAAGTCCTCTGACAGGGTTCGTGCAAGCTCAGGCAAGCCCCAAAAACCTAGCCTGGACCCACGACCCTCCTTCCAAACCCATAAAGTCTACATCTAGGGCTTGAGGGACCAGGCTGTAAACCTGAAGCTTAAACCCATAACCCCCATTTGGGATGCCTCGAAGGCTGATTCTCCAATCCTATGCTCCCCGTTGATGGCTCTTCCCCCACTCAAGAATGACCTTGTGTCGGGTCCCCTAATCATTTCGGGAGTTGCCCCCCCCCCCCGCCCAACAAAGTCACCTCAAGCTCTTAAGAATACCAAAAGCCTCCGCCAACAATCGTGAAAAGCTTCGTTCCTGCACTTGTAAGCCCCAAGCGGGTCCCCGTCATCCCCTCCCCCTACATTCAACCTCCCTTCCATCCACCCTTCTCTCCATCTTCTCCCGAAATATTGGCACCACAGAATGAGACCATCCCTGAACCCCATAGCCCTAAACCCTAAACCCTAAACCCTAAACCCTAAACTCTAAAACTCCAAAACCCTAAACCCTAGTCCCTAAACCAAACCCCAAGTCTTACCAAAGCGGGGGTGGATACCGACCCGCGAGGATGGGCGGACGCTGACGGAGCAGCCGTTGAGGCGTGAACCTCTGAACCCCAAGCCTCAAAACTCCACACATAAGGGTTTTAGGGTTTAGGGCAAGTTTAGGGCTTAGGATTGAAAGGTTCAGGGGTTCAGGGGTTTAGGGGTTTAGGGGTTTAGGGTTTAGGCTTTCAGCACCTTGCACCCCTTCAGGCCTCAACTCCTCACCTCCTCAACCCCGCAAAAGCCTCTATGCGCCTAAGCCCCCTGCCCCGAATCCCTAAACCCTCAACCAGAAAAATCCCTAAGCCATAAACCCCTAAAACCCAAAAACCCTAGACCCCGCAACCCGAAGTCGCCAGGCTCACAGCCCTGAAAGCGCTAACTCCGGCGGCCCTGGTGGGCCACCGTGGGGCTCTGGCGGCACAGGCGCCCGGGTTTCGGGTTTGGGTTTCGGGTTTAGGGTTTAGGGTTAGGGTTTAGGGTTTGGGTTTAGGGCTTATAAGGGCTTAGGGCTTAGGGCTTCAGTTTTAGGTTTCTTGCGGGTCTAGGGTGGTAGGGTGTAGGGTGCAGGGTGAGTCGTTTTCTGGGTTTAGCACATAGGGCATAGGGTGTAAATGGCGCAGCGGCGCTGCTTATACAATCAGACCCTGGAAGCCCTCTGAGCCCTGTTGCCCCTGGGGTTTAGGGTTAGGGTTTGGGGTTTAGGGTTTAGGGTTTAGGGTTTAGGGTTTAGGGTTTAGGGTTAAGGGTTTAGGGCAAACAGCAAGCCCTCTGGGCCCCAGAACCAACAGAGCCTTCGAGCCAAGCCTGCGCTGCTGGGGGCTTGGGGAGGCCACTGCCGTGCTGGACCGCAACAAGGCCGGCGAGCGACATCTCGTTTGCGGTTTAGGGTTTAGGGTTTAGGGTTTAGGGTTTAGGGTTTAGGGTTTGGGGTTTAGGGTTTAGGGTTTTAGGCTTCAGTGATTTCGGGGTTTTTGGGATCCCTCAGCACCCATGTTAAGGTTTCAGGACCTAGATTTCAGACTTAGATCGGGCCTGTGTCTGTCCTTGTAGAGTCAGAAAAGCATGTGGCCTTCTCGGTTTTGCTCTTAGGAAGTCGCTGCGTAGCAACATCACTTTTTAGGATGTACGCCTGAATACATGCATGCATCTACAGCCATATACCTACGTATGCGTACATACACATGTACGATGTGCATACATATACATACGTATACATACACATACGTACTTATCTACTGCTGTTCTGATGTATTCTTCAATTTGTGCGTGTGTGTGTGTGTGTGTGTGTGTGTGTGTGTGTGTGTGTGTGTGTGTGTGTGTGTGTGTGTGTGTGTGTGTGTGTGTGTGTGTGTGTGTGGTGTGTGTGTGTGTGTGTGTGTGTGTGTGTGTGTGTGTGTGTGTGTGTGTGTGTGTGTGTGTGTGTGTGTGTGTGTGTGTGTGTGTGTGTGTGTTTAATCTGAAGGGTCAAGGGGCTTGCTGTGAAGCACCCCCGTGCGAGATTCTGAAAATGTTGTGAGGCTTGTCTGAAAGCCTAAGAGAGTTCAAACCTTGGATAAGCACGTGTGCGTGTGTGACCGTCATGTTCCGCTCTCAGAGGTGTGCAAAGAGGCTCAATACACTGACTTCTGTATGCGGACGAGGGCGTGTTTCGCGCCCTAAACCCCAGCAACTACATTCTGAACCCCAAAGCCCTCAGCCACGAAAGCCCACGAATCCACGACCCAAGCCTGGCAAAGAGGCCGTCCGCGAGTGTGCGCTGCATGCCCTGTGGGACGCCGCAGGGCAGGAGCGCCCGGAAGAAGGAGCGGGAAAGCCACTTTGGGTTCGTGTTTAGGGTTTAGGGTTTAGCGTTGAGGGTTGAGGGTTTAGGGTTTAGCGTTGAGGGTTGAGGGTTTAGGGTTTAGGGGCCGGCGTTTTGGGCTTCAGCCAAGGGCTTCATGGGTAGCCCTAAAGCCTTATAAGCAACCTATTTCGGGCGCGTGTACGTTTAGGGGCTTCTGCGTTTGCTGGCTCCGGAGCCAAAGGTCCAGGGAATATGGCCTTCAAGTTCAGGGTTTAGGATTCAGGGTACGACGTTTGTCCGGAAGATGGGGCTTCGAACATCGGCAGCTGGATGGTCAGGCTCATGGTTCAGGGGTTTCGGCTTTGGGGTTTATATAGGCTTCAGGGTCGAAGGTCGGAGGGTTTTGGTCATCGTTGGTAGATGACACGTGGCACTCCGACCCTAAACTCCTGACCCTTGATGGGCAGGCACGACGAAAATTTCTCTGGGCCCCATCTCCTACCAATCTCATGCTGTCTGCAATATTCTGTTCCTTTTTCATGCAAGGTAGAATAAAGAGAACCTAACGCACGTTGGAAACATGCTTGCAGCCCCTCCCATGCTTGCAGTTCAGAAAGTTTTCACGTTTCACATGCACACACAAGACCTGAAACGCAAAATCCCCGAACCACAAACCGTTAATCCCACGTTTCGAGGCGGAGCGGTTCACACCACTCTGTCTGCAGTGCTCCCCCCGCCCGACGCGCGTTACAAAGCTGAGGACCCTGCGGCTCTCGGGGTTGTTCTGGTTTCGGCTAAACCCTAAACCCTAAACCCTCAACCCTGAACCCTAAACCCTAAACCCTAAACCCAAGACCCAAACCCCAAATCCTAAACCCTAACCCCTCTAGGGGTTTTGGAGTTTCGGCTCTGGGGCTTTGATGAAGCGCCGCGTGAAGTGTACAGACTGATAACCCTTTTCTTTTGGGGGGGTGGGAGGGGGCTGAGAGGGCTACTGATAGTGCGCGCCTCTGCAGGAACCCAAACTAGCCCCCGCCCCCTTTCGGTTTAGGGTTCAGGGTTTAGGGTTTTAGGGGTTTAAGGGTTTAGGGGTTTAGGGGTCTAGGGTTTAGGGTTTAGGGTTTAGGATTTAGGGTTTAGGGTTTAGGGTTTAGGGTTTTGGGGGGGGGGGGGGGGGTGGGGGGCCTTTCCTTTTTCGGGAGAGGCGGGGGGGAGGGGGTATGTGGAATATACGCGGGCCCCTTTTTTACGCACTCTCTTTTCGAATTTCCCCTAGTGTGTTAGTGGGGCCAGGGTATAGGGTTTGGTGTTGAGGGAGGGTTTAGGGTTTCGGGTTTCGGGTTTAGGTTTCGGGTTTAGGGTTTAGGGTCTAGGGTTTAGGGTTTCGGGTTTAGGGTTTAGGGTTTAGGGGTTCAGGGTGACGGGCTCACTGTGAGTCGCGCCGGGCGACGGCGGAAGCCTTGGCGCGCCTGGCACCCCGGGGCGATGAGGCGCTGCTGCCGCTTGGCCGCATAGGGTCGCGCCCGAAGCGCCCGATGTAAGGGTAGCTTTGAAGGGCAGCCTTGTATACCCTCTTATATACCCTACCTACACAAAGTAAGGGCCCATACATCCGAACCCTTTAAAGGAGGTAAAGGACCATAGTGGGCCCATGAAACTACCCTTGGACCCGAGACCCTAAACACTGGATGCAGGGACCTGTACATGCCCTCGCACCCTAGCACCCTAGCACCCTCGGTTTAGGGTTTAACTCCAAGCCCCAGACTCTAGCAAAGCAAGCCCGACCTCCCATAGGGTTTCTGGGGTTGATATGAGTTCTTAGGATTGCAGCCCGCATCTGGATATATGGTACCCTTTAACATCCGCATATTTGGTACAGTACCCTCCGCCCCGTTATCTACCAATTTTGGTCTTACACAGGTTTGTACGATTTGGGGGTGGAGCGTACAGCGTTCCATTCACTATATGTATATATATATATACTATGGTTGTTTCAATGTTTTTTATACAGATGCATGGAGTCCGTACAGACCCGATTGAAGTTGAATCGGCCGATTCAATTTGAACCGGGCCCCGGTTTGAAGATTGAAGATTGAAGATTCCCAGAAAAGTGTTTCGAGGGAATCTGCAATCTTCAATCCGGGACCCGGTTCCATCGGAAAATCGGCCGATTCAGCTTGAATCGTTTGAATCCCTAGTGTGGCTTGTCTCGATTCCCGGGTACCAAACCCTAAACCCTAAACCCTAAACCCTAAACCCTAAACCCTAAACCCTAAACCCTAAACCCTAAACCATGGCTCTCCCCTCCCTCCTCACCTCTCCCCATATTCTTTGAATCATATTGGCCGAGCCAAGAAGCGGGGGGGATCCCAAACCTTAGTTTCTAAGTCCCGAAATGCTAAGGAGGGAGACGAGAGTCTCTCGTCCCCCCACAGAGCGTCTTACTCGCTAACTCCTAAACGAATAGGGGATCTCCTCGTTAGGACTCAGCGAAAGGATTTAGGGAACCGGATCTTTCCCTAAACCCTCCAAGCCTAAGAGAAGAGTGTCCCTACAGGGGAGAGTCCTCAAATGTGTAAATGTAGATTGTATTGTCCAAGCCCTACGGATCCCAAATCTTCGTCCCGAAACTCTACCCTCTAAATCTTAATGAAAGGGATAACCCGTCGAATGTAGCACCGCTTGTTCATGAGATTTCTGAATGTGCTTGAGTTAAAGTGGTGACAGTAGCGTTTAGGGTTTGAAAGTTTGAGAGTTTGAGGGTTTAGGATCATGCGGCTTTAGGAGTTTAGCCTTTTCAGGGGTTTCGTGCGGGTTTGAAAGTCTAGGGTTTGGGGTTTCAGGGTTCTCGAGCTTAGGCGCCCAGAATCGGACACCTGAGCTATCTGAGGTCTGTGGTCCGCAACTGGCCGGGCCGCCCAGGTGTTTCGGGTTTAGGGTTTAGGGTTTGGGGTTCAGGGTTTCGGGTTTAGGGTTTAGGGTTTGGGGTTTAGGGTTTCGGGTTTAGGGTAAGGTGTTGTTCAGTTCTCAGGACGCTGCTTTAAGTTGGACTCCTTGCTTTTTTGGGGCTTCCGAAATGGGACGCCAACTTAGAGAAGGGTCCATGTGGGGTCCCGAAGCACACTGAACCCCCAAAGCCCCGAAGCTCTGAGCTCCTGAAACATCCGGGCAGGGGCTTTAAATCCCAAGCCCTAAGGCCCAAGCCCAGCCCTAGGACCACGAGGCATTGTAGTCGTTGGGATGCCCAAATGGGCGGGGGGGGGGGGACGGACTGACCTGAGGTGCAGAGATCAGTACCGAAACGAACCGCCAAGAATTCCCTTTCGGTTTGGGGTTTGGGGTTCAAGGGCAGGGGTGCACTTGTTGAAAATCCTGTAGGCGCTGAAGTGCCGCTTTGAAAGAGCTAGAGCCTCACTTGACATGCAGACAGCAGGCGGGACTTCTTTGCATCAGCAAGGCTGAGCTGGCGTTCTCGAGGAGCTCTCCCTCAGGGGCACACACGCCACTCCGCGGCTGCAACGGCTTGCAAGAGTAGAGCTAGGCGGCCCAAGACATTGTGAGTCGTACCGTCCTTACTCTGACCATGGTCACCAACCCTCTTGCGCGTATCAACTGCGCGATATCTGGTAGATCACCGCTGGGACCCAGCACACGCCATTTCTCACATTCGCTGAAGCTTTTCCGCGTCATGGCAGTGCCATGGGGGCCTCCTGGCCAACGGCAGGTTGAGAGACTCTTGCTGGCACCACAAGGGGGTTTGTTCTACATGATCGTCTCGTTTGGGGTTCCTGCTTGCTACTACGCAGAACCTTCTATGTAGGGCACCCAGCAATGGACTCTCACATTGTGTCAAAATTGCATAGCGCCCCACATCCCACATGCCCAAGCTACACTCCTGCTCCGCCTACCCGCGGCCGTTGCGCCTTAGAGGGCTGAGGGCAAGAAGCGAAGCTTTAAGCAACCCTAAACCCTAAACCCTAAACCCTAAACCCTAAGCCCTAAGCCATAAACTCGAAACCCCAAACTCCAAACTCTAAACCCTGAACCCTAAACTCGCTAGCCACGAACCATGTAAGATCGCGCCCTTTCCCCCTTTTCCTTAAACCCATCGACCTCAAGCCGAAGCCTTCAAGCTTCAGAAAAAAACATACATGTAAACAGATAAATGTCAATAGAAATAGATAATGACGGAAAACAAAATAAATAGACACAGTGTAAATAAAAATACAAATACAAATACACACACACACACACATATATATATATTTAGATATACATACATACATATATATATATACATGTATATATATATATATATATACATATATACATATCCCCTAAGCCCTAGAACAGGGTCCACAGTGCCAAGGGCCCTACCCTAAACAACGGTAGAAACCCCTTCCCCACCCCCCACCAGTCGTGTCAAGGAATGGTGTCCATGCCCGCGCAGCGCCACGCGGCAGCGGCTGCACCGCCCGTGGTCATGTCCTCGGCGCCTCTGCAAAGAAGGAGATTTTTGGATGATAGGATCCTATATCCTATACCTACCCTCCACCCCAAACCTTGAGCCATAAATTCTAGGACCCTCTAGATTTTGCATGAGGCCCCACTGCCAGGAAGGCCAGTGGGTGCAGCGTAGCATCCCAAGCCGTCAACCACGCGGAGGCGGCATAGGGACCCCTACAGCTCTCGTAACGTTTTTGTAAGTGTATAGACAGATTTTTTCTTCTTTGTTCGAATGGGTTCGTGGGCATAGGCACAAGCCTTCGTGAGCAAGGCACATTTTTTCGTGGGCAAGGCACGGGCAGGGTCCGGCGTGCCTTGCCCACGAAAGCTTGTGCCTTACCCACCACAAGTTTGTGCATTCAATGGCGGCCAGCTTTCGTCGGCAAGGCACAAACTTTCGTGTGCAAGGCACAAACTTTCGTGGGCAGGCACATCAGGGTTTAGGGCCTACTGGCCTCGGCTTTAGGATTTAGGGGCTATGGGCCTTGGGCTTTAGGGTTTGGCTGTAGGGTTTAGGGGCTACCCGGCCTTGGGCTTTAGGGTTTAGGGTTTAAGTTTAGGTTTAGGGTTGTTTAGGTTTAGGCTTAGGGTTTAGGGTTAGGGTTCACAGCCGAGTCAGCCTTGGGCTTCGTGGTTTGAAAGGAAGGCCAATGTTGTGGGACCCATTGGCGAGTGGGTATTTCTCCGTCACTTGACAAGCTGCTTGACTGGCGAATGCTTGAACTTGGGATACTGAACCCAAATCCCTAAACCCCAAATCCGCAAAGGCTGCCGCGATGCGTCTCAGAGCCGCTGCGGGCCAGGGGACGCCACAGCCACCGAGCTCCTCGGTTTGTTTGATACTTAACGCTCGTACATGTCTGATTGTGCCAAGATGAAGCACGATGTTCCAGTATCCCTAAACCCTAAACCCTAAACCCTAAACCCTAAACCCTAAACCCTAAACCCTAAACCCTAAACCCTAAACCGTAAGTATGGTATTGTAGTCTGGAGGGCCCTGGGCCGAGGCTGGGGCGGGTTTAGGGACTGGGGGTTGGTTTGCCCGTGTGACGGTGGTGTCCTTACTGTCGTTAGTACGACGTTGCGAGAGCGATTCTTTGTTTTTATGTGGCATTGCTATCATTTCTGCTATTCTTCTTATTCATTCATCTGTTTGTTTGTTTGTTTGTTCGTTTGTGGTACTTCTCTTGTTCATGTATTTCTTTGTATGTAGTTATGTGTTTTTTCAATATTTTGTTTGGGGGTGGGGGGGTGGGGGGTGGTGAGTTGTTTTGTAAGGTTTACGATTTTGGGTGTAGCACTTGGTTGATGAACATCATCGACCTACAGTTGGGGTTTAGGGTTATATAACTTTTTCATCGCCCAAGAAGCCTGCACGGAGCTAGAAAAACCAAAAGCCCTAACCCCCAAACCCGAAACCGCCAGGACTAGGCGTCGTTATAATCCATATTATGGACTGTTAGTAGAAGAGGGAGCATCTCAACCCTTAACCCTAAACCCTAAACCCTATACCCTAAACACCCAGCAAACCCTAAACCCTAATCCCGAAACCCTAAAAGCCCCCACAGTTCAAGGCTCGCCGACCCGGCAGCATGTGCTCGTCCAGCAGCGGCCCTTGCCGACGCTGGGGGACCTGGAGATGTCTGGACAGCTCTTTAGGGTTCAGGGTTTAGGGTTTAGGGCTTGGGCTGAGGGTTTTTGGGGCTGACGGTTTAGAGCTTGGGGCCTTGGGGGTTCCTTCTTGAATGGGTTCAGTTAGGGTTTCAGGGTTTGGGTTTTGGGTCCCTTTGTTGAGCGAGAGCTTTTAGGGGTCGAGGGTCTTAGGGTTTAAGCTTGAGGATTTAGAGGTTTTGTGCTAAAACCTAAACCCTAATTAGCCCTAAACCCTGAACCCTGAACCCTGAACCCTGAACCCTGAACCCTAAACCCTAAACCCTAAACCCTAAACCCTAAACCCTAAGGTTTTGGGGGCGTTCGTTCGGGTTTGGGCTTGAGGCTTCGTGTTTTGAGACGTTTGGAGGGGATGAATATCATGGGTTTCCTTACCACACCTTCTATACTCCCCCCCTAGGTTCCCCCCTCAAATAATTTCACTTAGGCTGAATTATCCCAAAATAGCCTTAATTATGGGGGGAACTAGGGGGGGCCGGGGGTAGCATGGAGGGGGCGGTAGGGGAACCCATGAAAAGACCAAGGCACCATCACTACCCGAGCCAGCAACCCACGCCGCGCGTCTGCAAGCTGGATGCTGTCGCCCTAAACCCTAAATCCTAAACCCTAAACCCTACATCCTAAACCCTACATCCTCAAGTTCCTGTAACTTGAAAGAGTTCTAAAGAAGAAGCTCCTCGAACCTCCGCGAAACTCCTGGAGACTTCTCGAAAACTTCCCTGGATTTGAACCCTAAACCCTCAACCCTCAACCCTGAACCCCTGAACCCCTAAACCCCTAAACCCTAAATCCTGAAGCACCAAAGCCGAGGCTCCCAAACCCAAACCACATTTTGAGAGGGGGCCTGGCGGGGTCCTTGCAAGCTTGTGGCTTGAAACCTCAACCTCTCGACCCCCCAGGCCCCCTCAACCCTTAAGCTTCAAATCCCCAACCCCTAAATCCTAGCTCCTAAACCCCATCCCCAAACCCCTAAGCCTTAACCCACTCTAAACCCTGGGAGTTTGGGATGTTGAGCTCCTCAGACCTCAGGGTGTAGGGCCACAGATCCTCCCAAGCTCTGAATCCGCACGCCAGCTCGACGTGCACAGGGTAGGATTTCGGGCTTCGGGCTGAGCGGGGTTTTTGGAGGTGCAGGGTTCAGGGTTCAGTACTGCTGTCGTTTCAGGGCTTTTGGGGGGTTGAGGGGCTTCAGGATAGGTTTCACCCTTTCCAGCGGATCATGGAGGGCCGGGACTCTCTCTCTCTCTCTCTCTTTCTCTCTTTCTCTCTCTCTCTCTCTTTCTCTCTCTCTCTCTTTCTCTCTTTCTCTCTGTCTCTCTCTATGTTGCAGGGATCTGTAGCCTGATGCTTGAACTTTAAGTCGAAAATGACCCCTGCCTGAACCCTTGAACGCCTCCAAAAGCCTGGAGTTCTCCTGCACCCTCGAGTTCTACGGGCAACAGGCTCCCTATAAAATCCCTGAGCCCTAAACCCTCAGCAGCCCTCAGCTCCAAGCTCCAAGCCCCAAACCCTAAACCCTAAACCCTAAACCCTAAACCCTAAACCCCAAACCCTAAACCCTAAACCCCAAACCCCGACGGCCTGTCAGGGCTCCAAGCGGGGCGGCGCGCCTGTCACCGAGACAGGGAGGCTCTTGCACCCCGTTTCAGGGCGTTAGGGTTTAGGGTGTAGGGTTGAGGGGTTTAGGGTTGAGGGTTTAGGGTTTGGGGTGTGTCGCAGTGAGCTTGCAGCAGTTTCTTGTGTTCCCTCGCACCCACTCCAAAAAATGGCCCGAGCAGCCCCTGATCCCTCAACCTTAATCCCTAAGCCCTAGACCCTAAACCCTATTCCCTAAACCCTAAACCCCCTAAACCCTAAACCCTAAACCCTGAGCCGCCCCAACCCCACGCCCTCAACCCTGGACCTTAAACCCCAAATCCCAAACCCCTAACCCTGAACCCTAAATATAGCCCTAAACCCTAACCCTAAACCCTGATAAAGCCCTAAACCCGAAACCCTAAACCCTACACCCTCAAACCCCCCTACGCCCTAAAGCCCTAAACCCAAAAGTCCCAAAGCCCTAATGCCCTAGACCCTAGTAAAAGCCCTAAACCCGAAAAAACCCTAAACCCTGACATAGCCCTGAACCCTAAACCGCTTCAACCCCTGAAGCCCCTATAATCCCCAACCCTAAACCCCAAACCCTTAACCCCTAAAACCCCCTAAAGTCCCCGAACCAAGCCGGAGGCTTCCGAGGCCCCGCCGTGCAGAGGACTTCGATCCCCAACGCGCAGTGGCGGCCGCAGCCTGTGCACTCAGGACCCTCAAACGGTTCAGGGGGGAAAGCGGTTTAGGGTTTAGGGTTTAGGGTGTAGGGGTTTAGGGGTTTAGCACTCAGGACCCTCAGGGGGGGCTCAGGGGCTTGAGGGGGGTTCAGGGTTGAGGGTTGAGGGCTTAGGGGTTGAGGGTTTAGGGTTTCGGGTGTAGGGGTTTAGGGTTTAGGGTTGAGGGGTTCACAAGTTGAGGGAACCGGGGTTCAGGGTTGAGGGTTTAGGGTTCAGGGTTCAGGGTCGAGGGTTTAGGGTTTAGTTTCGGGTTTAGGTTCAGAGTTGAGGGTTTAGGGTTGAGGGTTTAGAGTTGAGGGTTTAGTGGAATGTAGGGATCTTTGGGTCGTTGTACGTATGGAGTGGATGCATTTGCTCGAAGCTTGTGGGCAGAGGATCGAATCCCTCCCGCAAACCCTCCCGCAAACACTTCCCTGGCATACAACACCTTCGCCTTTTTAGGTTTGTTTAGGGTTTGGGGTTTCGAGCTCTTGACCAAAATTGCTTAGGCATATTTTTTTTTACCTTTGATCGTTGAGCTAGGGCTTTGTAGCTTCAAGCCGCACAATGCTGTATGTCTGGAGCATGTCCGGACATGAGCTGGCGGCAGTGCCCGCGGGCGACACCTGCGAAGATGTGACCCAGTTGAAATGCCACTTGAGAAGCCGACATGGCTTTCCAGTGTGCCTGCAACAGCTACTACATGCTGGCTGCAGGTTAGAGGATCGTACTTCTCTAGTTGGGCTCGTTGACCTGAACCTGTTGCTACTCTCCATCCTCAGCCCGGAGCAGATGTTTGAGGCCGAGCGCGAGTTTCTTGATTATGCTGCCGATGCAGGCAACGTGGAAGTGGGCCGCGCTCTGCTGAAAGCTGGTGTCATACTGGTCTGGTCCTTTGCGACCGCTCTCGCACGCGCATCTTCTAAGGGCCACATCGAGTTTGTGCGCTTGCTGCTGGACACTGGTGCCGATGAGAACTTGCAGTACAAGATGCAGGATATGTCCAGTTTCGTGCTCGCATCTTCCATGGGCTACATCGAGATTGTACGTTTGCTGCTGAAAGCTGATGCCGACAAGAACTTGAAGGACAGGTCCGGCCACACTGCTCTCATGCGTGCATCGTTCATGGGCCACATCGAGATTGTACGCTTGCTGCTGGAAGCTGGCGTCGACACGAACGTGCAGAACCAGCAGGGCAGGTCCAGTCTCATGCTCGCATGTTCGAAGGGCCACGTCGAGATTGCACGCTTGCTTCTGGATGCTGGTGCCGACAAGAACTTGCAGGACAGGTCCGGCGCGACCGCGCTCATGCACGCATCTGCCATGGGCCAAGTCGAGATTGCAGGTTTGTTGCTGAATGCGGGTGCCGACGAGAACTTGAAGGATTGTTATGGTGCAACCTCTCTCATGCACGCCTCTTCTGAGGGCCACATCGAGATTGTAAACTTGCTGCTGGAAGCTGGTGTCGACAAGAACTTGCAGAATCGGCAGGGCAGGTCCAGTCTCATGCTCGCATGTTCGAAGGACCACGTCGAGATTGCACGCTTGCTGTTGAATGCTGGTGCCGACAAGAACTTGCAGGACAGGTGCGGCGCGACCGCGCTCATGCAATCATCTGCCATGGGCCAAGTCGAGATTGCAGGTTTGTTGCTGAATGCGGGTGCCAACGAGAACTTGAAGGATTGTTATGGTGCAACCTCTCTCATGCACGCATCTTCCCATAGCCACTTCGAGTGTCCGCTTACAGAGCAAGGTTGTTGAGGGTCGAATGGTCATAACCTCGAATCCTAAACCCTAAACCCTAAACCCTAAACGGCCTAAACCCGAAATCCTAAACCCTAAACTGTGAGAACGGTAGCGGGAACGCCGCCAGCTCTCCTGTGAGGTTGAACGTGCAACTTGAGCTCACTTCCGAGCCAGTTGCTGTGGCTCTAGGGTGTGGGGTTTGTAGGGTTTTAGGGTTCCATGACTCGTGTTTAGGGCGTAGGGTTTAGGGTTTAGGGTGTAGGGTGTGGGCTTGATACGGTTTGCAGGTTTGGCAGGGTGTGAAGTTTGTTTAATCTTTGGTGATGGTAAACCCTGCACCCTATTGCCTGTGCGCGGGGTGCGTTTTTTCAAGGGCTCTAAGGAGCCTTTGACTAGCCTTTGCGTTGCACCGGAATTCGTCGTGTAGTGTTTTCAGGTCCGAATTCAGAAAGCCAGAAGTCAGGTCCCCACCTCTTGGTGAAAAAAATGCACCGGACCCCTGCTACGGACTCTCCCTAAGCCCTAGACCCTCAACCCTAAGCCCCCTACAAACCCTACACCACACAGCGCAGTCCAAGGTTTAGGGATGTTCCCCCTTACGCTAACAGTCCTGAGTCGGGATTATAGTACCCCCCCCTATTATAATCCCTATTCAGGACTGTTTGTATAAGCGGGAACATCCTAGCCCTAAACCCCAAAAGCTTCCATCAACCTTAAGAAGTCCTTGGTTGTAAGGGAAAGTTGTGGCAAGACCAGCGCAGGATCCTAGAAAAAAAGCCTCTACCAGAACCTCAAGTAGCCCCGCACGAACCCTAAACCCTAAACCCTAACCCCTAACCCCTAACCCCTAACCCTTAACCCCTAACTCCTAACCCCTAACCCCTAAACCCTGAACCCTGAACCCTGAACCGTGAACCCTACCCCTCAACCCTTTCCCCAAACCCCAAACCCCAAACCCTAACCCCCCCCCCCCGCCCCCCTACAAACAAAAAAGCAATAGAAAACAGACCCCAACCTGGTTGGGAGGCTCTGTGGGAGCCTGGCCGCGGAGCCTGAGTGCAGAGAACCGCGCCGGCACCAACCAAGGCAGTTCGGGGTCTTGGAGTTTAGAGTTTAGGGTTTAGGGTTTAGGGTTTAGGGTTTAGGGTTTAGGGTTTAGGGGGGCTGCTTCCATGAGACCCTTGCCAAGCCCTCACAACCTGCGAATTCAATGCTCTAAAGCCTTGAACCCCAAACCCCCAAACCCCCCCCCCAAACCCCAAGCCCCCTAAACCCCTTCCCCTCACCCAACCCTTAACCCCTAAACCTCCCTACAACCCCTAAAACCCCGCCTGCCCCTGAAGCCCCTGAAGACCCTGAATCCGGAACTTGTGGTCCTGCTGGCTGCCTGAGATGGTGAAGCCTGGAAAGCTTTAAACAGAGTATGTACCCTTACCTAAGGGTAGGGCACCCACCCTGAACCCTAAAACCCTGAACCAAAACACTAAACCCTGAACCCTGAACCCTAAACCCGAGACCCTAAACCCTAAACCCTAAACCGTAATCCTAAAGGAAGCATTCCAACCCCTATGTCGCCAACTTGTAGGTACATCGACTGCGTCGAAAGTGCCGCGGCCGAGCCATCGCGAAGCTTCCCCAGGCTCGTGTGTTCTAAACCCACACATTCTGAACACCCTGATGGGATGTTGCCCCTTATACTAACAGTCCTTAATAGGGATTATAGTAGCCCCTAACATGCCAACACTGAACCCTAAAGCCCCAAAGCCCCAAAGCCTTAAAACCCTGGACCCTAAAACCTGAACCCTAAACCCTAAAACCCAAAAACCCTGAACCCTAAACCCTAAACCCTGAACGCTAAACCCTAAACCGCTTTAGGGTCAAGGCTGAAGGACTTCGGGTTTTTTGGGCATGCAGCTCGGGTTGACTCCCTGAACCCTACCCTAAACCCTAAACCCCCAAAGCCCGAAACCCTTCGCCCCCTCCTTAGATCCTCAACCGGGATTTCGGTTTAGGGTTTGGGGTTTGGGGTTTAGGGTTTGGGCTTTGGTTCCTAAAGCCCTGAACCACCAAAAAAACTCTAACTGGGATGGCCAGTTGTGGCCGTACTCTTTGTGGTTTTGACGGTAATTAGCCCCAATCCCCCTAAACCCTAACCACCAAAGCCTAAGCCTAAACCCTAAAGCTCTGCACCCGAAACCCCAAAACCCTCAACCCGAAACGCTTCAACCCTCAACCCTCAACCCTCAACCCTCAACCCTCAACCCTCAACCCTCAACCCTCAACCCTAAACCCTAAACCCTTAGCCAAAACCGCCTTAAGCCCACCAGGGGAACCAGGGCCGTGCTACTCCTCGCGTAGCGTCAGGCCGGGCCAGCTGGTCGGGGGCTTCCTTGGATGGGGGTTTAGGGGTTTAGGGTTGCGGGTTTAGGGTTTAGGGTTAGGGGTTTAGGGTTTAAGTGCCCATAAACTTAAAGGCTGCATACAGGGGATATTCGTCAAGCCTCAGCCCTCCAAACAGGTTGGCGCGTGGTGCTTACGTTTTCGAGGTTCCTGGTTGCGAGTGTTTGGAGCGCAATAGGCTCTGAAGTGCTCCTCCAGAAACTTTCATCTGGATGTGTTCATGGAGTTTATAGCTGGTTTACGTGGTCGGAGGTCGTACAATGCACGTCGTTAAAATGTGAAAACCTACATAAATGCCAGTGCTTTCACCAACCAGGCGCACGCAAGAAGAAGCAGCAGCAATCTGTATCTACGCCTGCGCAACCAAAATCTGGCTGACCCCTAAAGCACAAGCACACCAATGCCACGTGGGAAGCATCCTAAGCCCGAAGCCATAAACCCTAAACCCTAAACCCTAAACCCTAAACCCTAAACCCTAAACCCTAAACCCTAAACCCTAAACCGTAAACCCGAAACCCTAAACCCTAAAGCCTAAAGCCTAAAGCCTAAAGCCTAAAGCCTAAAGCCTAAACCCTAAAGCCTAAACCCTAAACCCCAGAAACCCCAGAAGCCCCAAACCCCGGCTCTCCTGGTGCCAGGGGCGATGATCCGCTGTCGCGGACCTTCACTTCGGGTGAGATCTCGGAGGGTGAGCACCTCATAGTAGGGGTGGGGGGGTGGGGGTGGGGACCTTGTGCTCATGGAATGCTACGCTGCTCTTAGCCTTAGGTTCAGGGTTTCAAGCTTTTGGGCTTGAGGTATTGAGGCCTACTTGGGGGGGGGGGGGGGGGGGGGGCATCTGGGTGCAGGATTGAGTGGGGCAGGTGCTGTAAAGGTGGCACTACAAACGTTACTTCTGGCACGTGAATGAACAGAACTTAGGGACCTCATGTTGAGCGTTGATGTGCGCTAATCAAAGAAGAGCTCCCTTTATATGCTGGTTTTAGGGTTTAGGGTTTAGGTTTAGGGTTTAGGGTAAAGCCATCTTGTAACCCTAAGCCTTAAATCCTAAACCTGAGCTCGTTTATGTCCGAGGTGTGCAGGTCGTCTGCGCGCCTCGCGAAAACCTGTCGCCGAGGTGTGGGTTGCGGGCGCAAACCCTAAACCCTGAACCCTAAACCCTAAACCCTAAAGCCAAAACCCAAAACCCGAAACCCTTTCCTTGGGGCCTAGGTGTCTCAATCCCTGAGTCTCAAACCGTGCAAACCCATACAGCCCTAAAGGCCAAAAAGCCCTAAAGACCCCTTACCTCCATCGAAACCTCAACACCCAAGGCACAAACCCTGAACCCCCCTCAAGCTCCACAACTCCCTAAACCCTAAACCCTAAACCCTAAACCCTAAACCCTAAACCCTAAACCCTAAACCCTAAACCCTAAACCCTAAACCCTAAACCCTAAACCCTAAACCCTAAACCCGGCGCTGACATCCCCCAACCCTGAAAGGGCCCCCAAGCCCAAAGCACAGACTTACAAGTTCTAAGCAGTGAAGCGCCTTCGACCCGCCCTCATACTACCCTTTACCTTTAAGGCATAGGGTTTAGGGTTTAGGGTTTAGGGTTTCGGGTTTAGGGTTTAGGGTTTCGGGTTTCGGGTTTAGCGTTTAGGGTCTAGGGTATAGGGGGCCCCAAAACCCGGCACCTAATCCCTAAACCCGAAACCCTAAGCCCGAAATCTAAAGTTCCTCCCGCCCCCCTCCTACTGAACTAAGAGCCTACTAAGAACCTACTAAGAACCTACTAAGAACCTACTAAGAACCTACTGAGAACCTACTAAGAACCTACTAAGAACCTACTAAGAACCTACTGAGAACAACAGCAACCCTGGCAGAAGGATGCGCGCCAAGGCCGCCCCAGCGCCCCAGAACGCCGGTGGGAAGCCCCAACCACCTTCAGCTGAGTTGTAGGGGGTTTGGGGGTTTGGGGGTTTAGGGTTTAGGGTTTAGGGTTTAGGGTTTAGGGTTGGGGGGTTTGGGGGTTTGGGGTTTAGGGTTTAGGGTTTCGAGTTCAGGGTTTACCTAGTAGAGCGTGCGAAGTTCACTTCATCTTCGGTCTCCCTCTGCCCGGAAGCCCAAAAGCATCAACCCTAAAGCTCAACACCGAACCGACAACCTAAAACCCTGCCCCCAACATAGAGGCCATTCGCTTGGAGCCAAGCCTCAACCGCCTCAACCGCCTCAACCGCCTTGACCGCCTCAACCTCAAAGCTCCCCAAAAACCCCAAAACCCCCCAAAACCCCAAAACCCCAACACCCCAACACCCCTAAACCCCGAAACACCAAACCCCAAACCCCCCACTGTCCGAAGCCCTCTTCGGCGCTTTCCAAGGCGCCCCAGCGGTACAGCGCTGCGCAAGCGCCTCGCTGGCGAGGCTCGAAAGTAGGCCAGAGAGGCTGCGGTCCCGCAATTTGCATCATTATTATCAGTATTACTATGAATATGATTATTATTATTATTATGATTATTATGATATTGCTATGAATCGTCTTCTTCTTGGTCTTCTTAATACTCATTTTATTGCAGTGTTTTTAGTTAAGAAAGTTATGATTCTGGTTGTTTTGTTTTTTAAATTCCGGATCGCTTCAGCGTAGGGTGCTGTGACGGGCTCCCAAGCCCGAAACATTGAGCTCAAGCCTAAACCCCCAACAACCCAAAGCAATGGTAAACGCTGCGCCTCAGCATGGCCAGGCTATGCCAGGGTTTAGGGTTTAGGGTTGAGGGTGTAGGGTTTAGGGTTGTTGGTGTCTCGGCTTTGTGGCTGCAGGAATGCAGAAGTCTTGGCATCTGACAGAACCCACTCAAAAACCCAGCCTCCCTGGTGCAAGAGGCAATAAAAGCTCTTCAACTCCACAACCCCCCACAACCCCCCACAACTCCCTAACCCCCAAAGCCCAAGCCTTAAGCCCTAAGCCCTAAGCCCTAAGCCCTAAGCCCTAAGCCCTAAGCCCTAAGCCCTAAGCCCTAAGCCCTAAGCCCTAAGCCCTAAACCCTAAACCCTAAACCCTAAACCCTAAACCTCAAACTGACAAGGCCGCAGAGGCAGAGCCCACAGCGGCAAAGCTCCGCAGGCACCCCAAGCTCAAGACCTGACTCCAAAAGGTTGAAGAAAGGGATTTAGGGTTTAGGGTTTAGGGCTTAGGGTTTTGAACTCAGCGCTCCCTGCCCGCTTCCCCGATGATCAAGGCAACTCCTGCTACTTGCTGAAGAAACCCTCCTACTTGCACGAGAAACCTCCCCAACAAATAGAGATAATCCCCAAACTACCCTTGTAAGGAAGACCATTTTTTGTATATATATATATATACATATATATATATATATATGTATTTTTTTTTTTGGGGGGGGGGGGGTCTCCTAAGCAAGTGGTAGACCCTGAGACAGGTCACAATGGCAACTTTCCCTTAGGGTTTAGGGGTTTAGGGGTTTAGGGGTTTAGGGTTTAGGGTTTAGGGTTGGTTGGGGGTTGAGGGTATAGGGTTTAGGGTTGGGATGTTCCCCTTGTGCTAACAGTGCTTCATCGGAATTAGTACCCCGAGTATAATTCCTATTAAGGACTGTTCGTATGAAGGGGGAGCATCCCAAATAGCAATGGTAACCGTTATGGAGGTAGTAGTAGAGATGCTGTCCGTGGCACTAGGAATAGGAATCGTGTTAGGCTTATCAGTGGAAATGGTCTGTTAAAACTCTGAGAAGCTGAAAAGTAGTAGTCAGAGCAAACATATGCAAGTAAGTTAGAGTAGTCGTCATAGTAACGATCCCCCGAAAACCAGAAGTTTCGAAGGTCCCGAAGCCCGTTTTTCTTGATTGAGGCTCCCAAGCCCTAAGCCCAAAAGCAAAGCCGTTGTAAACACTCGGCAGCATTTTTTCAACCCTCTTCGCAGCCTTTCAGGCCTCTTGCACCCAACCTCAACCCCAAACCCCGACCCCAAACCCGAGTTTCGCCCTTCGGGCCCAAACCCTAAGCTCCAAGCCCTGAACCCTAAACGCTGCACCCGCCCGAAATCGTCCAGAATCTTTGTCGCTTGGTCAAACGAGCAGACGCGACTTGAATTGCATGGTCAAGCAGAACGCCTTCGCGAAGTACCGTATGCGAGGGTCACAGAGCGCCTGCAGCAACTGGAGCACACCAAGGAATCTGAAGGCTCGAAGAAGGATTACTACGCGACAAAACTGCCAGGAAGCCATGACCGTTGCAAAGCAACATCAGAAGGAGGCCGACTTCGCTGCGTTTTGGACCAAGAGTTGGACAAAGACTCCTGCTTCAGCCCGAAACCCCAAGGATGCTATCTAGCCATGAGTTCTCTACATATTCTCAATCAAATTTGCATTCGTCATTTGCTAGATGTACTGATGCCCTGAACCCCTCAAAGCCCCCAAACCCCCAGACCGTCCCAAACCCCAAACCAAACCCCCCAAACCTACCCCCTTGAACCCCTTGAACCCCTTGAACCCCTTAAACCCTTTAAACTCTTCAACCCCTTCAACCCCAAACCCCCCGCGAAACCCGCTAAACCCCAAACCCCCTAAACCCCTAAACCCTAACCCCAAACCCTACTCCCCGACCCCCTAAACCTACCCTAAACCCTAAAGCCCAAACCCTAAATTTAAGCACCCTAAACCTACCCAACACCCAAAACGCAAAACCCTAAACCCCAAACCCTAAACCCCAAAACCCCAAACCCGAAACCCCACACCCCAAACCCAAAAGACCCCAAACCCCCAAACCCCTAAACCCCAAACCCTAAACCCCAAACCCTAAACCCCAAACCCAAAAATCCCTAAACCTCACCGACCGCAGGCCGCCCCTTCTCGGCCCGGCCCTCCGCCTCACCGACGCGGAAGTCGCCCTCGCCGGAGCCGCGATGCGCCTCGGGCGGCAGTTTAGGGTTTAGGGTTTAGGGTTTAGGGTTTAGGGTTTGCCATTGTCAGAAAAAATAGTCATACAATAGTACAAAGAGGAATGGAATAGTAATACTATATCCAGATCAACAGTAGTATAGAGGTAAGATATTAGACTTGCGGAGGTTCTGGGTTTGGGGTTAGCCAAAAGTGGGGCTGTTCGTGCCATTTCGTACCCAACTCAAGGTTGCAAGTAGGCACAACTCTACTCGGTGTCCTACCTGGAGGTTCATTGGTACTCAGAAAAGTATGGTTACAAGTAGGATACCTATGCGTACAACCTTCCTCAAGGGTACTTATAACCCTACTTATTAGTGGCCATGGACCTTCAGGGATCCGGGTTAACCCTCACCCAAAACCCGTACCCTAAACCCCTGAACCCCTAAACCCTAAACCCCTGAACCCCTGAACCCGAAACACTGGTACCCAGGCATAGCGCCCGAGTCCCCGCGCAACAACACGCGGGTGGAGGGCCGACGGCCTCGGGAAGGCCCCCGGCTGGATGGCGCTCAGGGAGCTTCTTTTGTTGTACACCCAAGCCACCGGTTCGGATTTAGGTTTTAGGGTTTAGGTTTTGGTTTAGGGTTTAGGGTTTAGGGTTTAGGGTTTAGGTTTTGGTTTAGGGTTTAGGGTTTAGGGTTTAGGGTTTAGGGTTTAGGGTTTTGGGGTTTGTGTGTTTTGGGGTTGACCTAGGGGACATCTAGGTGTAGTTACATGGTCCCTTAGTATGGTCCCTTACCTGCTTGAAAGGAGCTGACACGGACTTGGAGTCAGTATGTTCCATGGAAGTGAAACAGCTGATGTTTCTGATCAGCACATGAGCTACATCACCTCTCAAGTTTGGATGTCAATGGCTTTGGGGTTTAGGGTTTAGGGGGTTTAGGACCCCCAAAGGCCCGGAAGTAGCTGCTGGGTGCAGGGTCCACGTCGTTGAGGGTTGAGCCCAGCGATGCATGTAAGTCTTAAACCTCTGAGCCCTCGACCCGACGCCCTCCCGAACCCCAGCCCCCGAAACCCAAAACTCTCCTAAGCCCGAAGCTCTCCCAAGCTGCAAGCTCGCCGCAGCTGTCCTCAGCCTACCCTACACCCTAAACCCTAAACCCTAAACCCTAAGCCCAAAGCCCAAAGCCCTAAGCCCTAAGCCCTAAGCCCTAAGCCCTAAGCCCTAAGCCCTAAGCCCTCAGTCCTAAGCCCTAAGCCCTAAGCCCTAAGCCCTAAACCCTAAACCCTAAACCCTAAACCCTAAACCCTATCCTGAACCTTAGGCTCGGCTGTCCCAAGCCTCAAAAACCCTCAACCCTGTAACCTCTGTCCTGATGTGCGTGTTTAGGGTTTAGGGTTTAGGGTTTAGGGTTTGTTTTTTCAGGCCATGCCGGTGTCCTGGGACTGGAGCGAGGCAGCCTGAGCTACCTAGCTGAAGGGACCAGGGGGGATGTCTTATTGAGCTGAAGAGGATCGTATTTCCCTATGCCCCTGAACCCTCAACCCTGAACTCTAATTCCTAAGCCCGAAACCCTGAACTCAACATATTTCTAGCAAGGAAAAACGGGTGGTTTTTGTTCGAGGAGCAAGTGTGTTCATTTTTTAAACTGAACCCCTTCCCATCATCAACAGGTGCGATACTTCTACAAGGTTTTCTAGGGCCATAGAAAGGACCCAACATCTGGGGGGCCTTCGTAAGGGTTGAGAGTTTTGGGGCTCGGTGGGTTCATTGGGGGAGTTTTGGGCTTTTGCCCTGAGAGCTCGAACTCGGAGCAGGGTCGACAGCCCCTAAACCCTAAACCCTAAACCCTAAACCCTAAACTCTAAACCCTGAACCCTAAACCCTAAACCCTAAACCCTACACCCTAAACCCTAAACCCTAAACCCTAAACCCTAAACCCTGAACCCTAAACCCTACACCCTAAACCCTAAACCCTAAACCCTAAACCCTAAACCCTAAACCACAAGGCGGAGCTCCAAAACCCCTAAACCAAAAGCGAACCCCAAGTTTTGAGCCCCAAAGTTCTTGAAGCCCAAAAACCCCTAAGCCCTGTGTGAGAATCCTTGAAACCCTCAACCACCCCAATCTGCCCCAAGCCCTAAACCCTAAACCCTAAACCCTAAACCCTAAATCCTAAATCCTAAACCCTAAACCTAAACCCTAAACCCCAAACCCTAAACCCTAAACCCTAAACCCCTTCACGAAACCCTAGGCCCGCCTTGGAGGTACAGAGCACCTCCTCCTCGAGCGCATCGCTGCCTTAGAAGCGCAGGCGGGCTCAGGGCTCAGGGTTTAGGGTTTAGGGTTTAGGGTTTAGGGTTCAGGGTTTAGGGTTTAGGGTTTAGGGTTCAGGGTTTAGGGTTTAGGGTTTCGGGTTTGGGGTTTAGGGTTAGGGTTTCGGGTTTGGGGCTATTGGCCCTTGGCTTCAGTTTCGATCAACCCCCGTGGTGTAGCTTGGCTTTGTTGTTTGTTGGGGGGCAGGGGGGGGGGGGGGCAGGGGCTTAGGGTTCAGGGTTCAGGGTTCAGGGTTTAGGGTTTAGGGTTTAGGGTTTAGGGTTTAGCGCAAGCTCACAACCCCGAACCCAAAACCCTATAAGCCCAACACCCTCAAAGCCCTGCAGGTTGAGGCTTCAGTGCCCGGCAGCTTGCCGCTTTGGGGACCCTTGTTTTTTAGGGGGAATATATGGTGGTTTAAGGTTTAAGGTATAGGGTCTAGGGTTTAGGTTATAGGGTTCGGATCGCTTGATTAGGTGCTAATTAGGCAGGGAAAAGGCCCTAAACCCCCAAACCCTAAACCCTGAAGCCGAAACCCCAAACCCCAAACCCGCACCAGGTCATCGACAGGCACGACCTCCTCCAGAAAATCAGCAAGCAGCAGGACTCCTCTGAAGCCTTTCTTTGGCGGGGGTTTTGGGGCTTCAGCCCAGGAAGCCCTAAACCCTAAACCCAAAACCCAAAACCCTAAACCGTAAACCCTAAACCCTAAACCCTAAACCCTAAACCCTAAACCCTAAACCCTGAGCCCTGAACCCTAAACCGCTCAATGCGAGCAGGTCAATGCAGCCGCTGATGGCCACTACACTTAAAAAAGAAGCCCTAAACCCTAAACCCTAAACCCCAAACCCCAAACCCCAAACCCCAAACCCTAAACCCGAAGCCCACAACCTAAACCCCTTTTTTCTGCACGTGTGCAGCGTGTTGGGAGCACATGGCAAACCCCTTAGCCACGATGACGGTCATGGTCGGTCGCGGTGTGCGTGCTCCCAAACCTTGTAGACCCCAAACCTTGAACCCTAAAAGGCCTTAATCCTAAACCCTCAAAACCTGAACCCTGAACCCTGAACCCTAAACCCTAAACGCAAAAACTCCGAAGTCTGCACATGCCCGTGCCAGCAGGAGCAGCTCGACCGCCTGGAGAATCTCGCGCGCGAGAACGCGAAGCTCAAGGCGCGGCCTCGACTTGGTTAGGGTTTAGGGTTTAGGGTTTCGGGTTTCGGGTTTAGGGTTTAGGGTTTAGGGTTTAGGGTTTTGGATTGAGGGTTTCGGGTTTAGGGTTTAGGGATTAGGGTTTGGGATTTTGGGCTTAGGGTTGAGGGTTTAGGGTTTGGGGTTGAGGGTTTAGTGTTCTGGGTTTGGAGGGCTTCTGGGTTTGAACGGGTGAGGCTTTAGGGGGTTGTTGAATCAAGCCTAAACCCCCAAAGCCTTAAACCGCAAGCTCCACAACCCCCGAACCTTAAAGCCATAAAACCCTAAACCCTAAACCCTAAACCCTAAACCCTAAACCCTAAACCCTGAACCCTAAACCCTAAACCCTAAACCCTAAACCCTAAACCCTAAACCCTAAACCCTAAACCCTAAACCCCGCGCGAGGCGCAAGTCGCCAAAGGCCCCGCGCGCCGGGTCGCACCCGCTGCGAACGCAGGAGGCGCTTTGCAGTGACGATTCGATTTTGGGATCGGGTTTAGGGTTTAGGGTTTAGGGTTTCGGGTTTAGGGTTTAGGGTTTAGGGTTTAGGGTCTAGGGTTTAGGGTTTAGGGCCTCGAGGTTTTGGGGGATTGAGGGTTGAGGGCTGAGGGGCTCAGGGGTTTACGGGCTTAGGGGTCGAGGGTTTGGGGGCTTAGGGAGCTTCCAGCCTTTCAAGCCCTAAATCCTAAACCCCAAACCCTAAATCCTAACCCCCAATTCCTAAATCCTAAACCCAAACCCTAAAGCCCTAAACCCTAAACCCCAAACCCTAAACCCTAAAAACCTTGAGCCCTAAACCTTAACCCCACAAGTGCTCCTAGAGCCAGGGTTTCGTGTCGGAGCTCGGGTCCCAGGGGCCGGGGCCCCCAACAGCGCCTAGCTGCCACGGAAGGTACCCGCAAACCTTCTTTAGGAGGCCTAAACCCTAAACCCTAAACCCTAAACCCTAAACCCTAAACCCTAAACCCTAAACCCTAAACCCTAAACCCTAAACCCTAAGCCCGGGTTTTGAAAGTCCCCCCACCCCCCCCCCCCCCCCCCCCGCCCCTCGCAGGCCCGCGGCGGGTGGCACCACGAGCCGTGGGGCCCTCAGACTTGCGAACTGGAAGGGTTTAGGGTTTAGGATCTAGGGTGTAGGGTGTGGGGTTTAGGGTTTAGGGTCTGGGTTTTAGGGTTGAGGGTGTGGGGTTTTAGGGTTTAGGGTGTGGGGTTTTAGGGTTTAGTGTTTAGTTTAGGGTTTAGGGTTGTCACGGTCCGGGGAGGGCGAGGGGCCTAAGCCAAAATCCCGAAGGTTCAGAACACTTCAAAGCCCTCATCCAACCCTAAACCCGAAACCCTTTATAAACCCTAAACGCTAAACCTTAAACCCTAAACCCTAAACCCTAAACCCTAAGCCCCTAAGCCCCTAGAGCCCTAAACCCTGAAACTAGGTCCGTCGGCGGAGTTCAGTGAAAGCACCTGGAGGCATTTTTCATGAAATTCATGCCGCTAGTGGCACCCTAAACCCTAAACCCTAAACCCTAAACCCTAAACCCTAAACCCTAAACCCTAAACCCTAAACCCTAAACCCTAAACCCTAAACCCTAAACCCTAAACCCTAAACCCTAAACCCTAAACCCTAAACCCCATACCCTGAACCCTAAACCCTTTTCTAACTTCTGATTGCATGTTCCTAAGCCGCGGAGGCGTTTAGCACCAGTATTCTGCTTGTCTGGGTGTAAGCACAATGGACTAGAAATTTGCTGCTTAATCTAGCGATTAGCCGCTTTTTGTGGATGATAGGTTGCTTTTAGACAACAACGTGACTAAGCTGCATGAATTATCAAATGTTATGGAAAGCTGGGATACTTCCCAGCAGTTTGAGACCCGAAACTGTTGCTTTTGGCTCTAATGTGGAAGTTGATGATAACTGAGAATATCTGCAGTCACACGTAGTGGTGTGCGCAACTTAATCTATTATATTGACATTCCCCTCCCGCGTGAGGATTTCGATAATCCGATTGTGCCCTTGCCGTTCTTGATGGAGTTACGCGTGCCTCTCTAGACTCTAAACCCTAAACCCTAAACCCTAGACCCTAAAAACCCAAGACCCTCAACCCTAAACCCTAAAGCCCTAAACCCCCTAAACCCTAAACTTTGGTTTTGGTGCTGGGGTTCCGCACCTTTTGTCACGCGCGGTTATATGAAACCTCGCGCAAGCCGAACAAAGATGCTAGGAGGTGCCATACTCCGTCACGCCTGTTTAGGGTGTAGGGGGTTTAGGGTCTAGGGGTCTTAGGGAATTTAGGGGGTTTAGGGTGTCAGGGGATTTAGGCTGTCTCAGCGCGAGACAGCTGAACGCCTGCAGATCATCAGTGGCAAATGTACGTTCCTGAGCGATATCATCCCCAACCTGAAAAAGGACGACTTGCATCTTCATGTATTCGGAAGGCCCTCGGGATAGTTTGTGTTTTCCCTTATTGGATTCATTTGGCCATACGTAGGAATATTCTTGCCCTAAACCCTAAACCCTAAACCCTAAATCCAAAACCCTAAAACCCCCTATGACAGCACAAGGAGCCCACCGTGACGCGGCGCATGGCCCCTGCACCGCAGGCCCGTCACTGGTCCCACTTGAGGTCTACGATAGGGGCTTGATTTAGGGTTTCGGGTTTAGGGTTTAAAGTTTAGGGTTTAGGGTTTAGGGTTCAGGGTAATAAGCATAGGGTGTTGGGGGGGGGTTATTGTGACCATAAGGGGAGTACTAGTAGTAATAATTCCCAGCCCCTCATTTCTGACTGATTTAGCGTTTGGGGGGTTCGGGTTAGCGTTAAGGGTTTGATTGGGGCTTAGTGGGTTTTAAGTACCGTTTAGGGTTGGGTGGTTTATAACTCGTTGCTGTAGACTTGGGGACCCCGAATTCTACAGAGATTGCAGAGGTGCTTTTGGCGTAGGTCCTGCTCTTTGACACGGGTACATGCTGTAAGTTGCAGCCCGTCTTCCCACACATCATCATACGGACTCGAGCCACAAACCCTAAGCCATAAACCCCAAACCGCAAACCCTAAACCAAACCCCAAACCCCAAACCCCAAACCCCAAACCCCAAACCCCAAACCCCAAACCCCAAACCCCAAACCCCAAACCCCAAACCCCAAACCCCAAACCCTAAACCCTAAACCCTACACCCTAAACCCTAAACCCTAAACCCTGAACCCTAAACGCTAAACCCTAAACCCTAAACCCTACACCCTACACCCTACACCCTCGACCCTAGCCCGCATCATCGCACGCAGGTTTCGGAGGCTCTCCTGCCCACGATGGCACCCCGGCGTGACTCGGCAAAGCTGACTTTTGGGTGCCGAGTCCGGGTTTGGGGTTTGGGGTTTGGGGTTTAGGGTTTAGGGCTTAGGGCTTAGGGCTTAGGGCTTAGGGGTTACGGGTTTCGGAGCCCTAACACAAAACCCTGCCACCTTACACTCCTGACAAGCCGTGAGGTTACGGACACAGCCCCCCCGCGGAGGCTCAGAAGGCGCGTGGGTACATGAAAGGACACAGGGTTTAGAGTTTAGGGTTTAGGGTTCAGGGTTTAGGGTACCTCAACTTAGAACCTCAACTTAGACCCTCAACGTCAAACCCCAAAAGCGAAGGCCCCTCAACCCGTAAACCCCTAAACCCCTACACCCCTCAACCCGCAAACCCCCAAAACCCTCAACCCCCTGTATGCCCCTACACCCCTGCACCCAAACCCTAAATCCTGAACCCCTAAAGCCTTGATCTTTGGTTGCGCGCCCTGAAGCACTCTTGTGGCACGTCCGACTGCTAGAAGAGACCCTAAACCCGGAACCCTGACCCCCGAACCCTAAACCCTAAACCCTAAACCCTAAACCCTAAACCCTAAACCCTAAACCCTAAACCCTAACCCTAAACCCCAAACCCCTGAACCCTAAACCCTGGGGTTGAGGGTTTAGAGGCTGGGGACAGGACCCCTTTTTCTTGTTGACCGCCGGCTCCAGCAGGATGAGGGTTTAGGCTTACCAGGCTTTAAAGGTCTAAGAATCCTGCCCTAAGCCCTAAGCCCTAAGCCCTAAGCCCTAAGCCCTAAGCCCTAAGCCCTAAACCCTAAACCCTAAACCCCAAACCCTAAACCCTAATCCCTTAACCCTCCCTATCGAACCCAGGTCGTATTCCTGCTTAATGTCTATAGACTCCTCTAAGTAGGCCACCGGCATAGTTCTTCTTGTATACAACCCGCAAAGGTCCCAGTTCCGCATGTTAAGGCAAAATGGAAGGGCCCCAAGAACCATCGATGTCAGTCAGTACCAAGAAGTCGCATGTGTATTGTGAGTCCGAGCAAATCCTGCCATCGGTTTCTTTACTTTTTTTGGGGAGTCAAATCCTTTTGTCTCTTGGGGCTCGTTGAGGCCTTCTGGCGGCTTCTTTTTGCGGTTTGATGGGCGCCGCCCACATTTTTTGATTTTTGACAAAATGGAACGCACCCCCCCCTCCATCGATTTCTGTACAATAGTTGCAGTTTCCCTTTTCCCTTTTCCCTAAACCCTAAACCCTAAACCCTAAACCCTAAACCCTAAACCCTAAACCCTAAACCCTAAACCCTAAACCCTAAACCCTAAACCCTAAACCCTAAACCTAAACCCTAAACCCTATGCGTAGTGAGCTGCAGCCTTTAAGGCGCCTTGCCGGCGTGCGTCCTTACCCACCGCACACTCTACTTGTGAGTGTTGGGGCGGGCAAGGGGTGGGCAAATTATATTGACCAGGTATAAGGTCTTTCAGAGGTTATGACGCCCAAACTCACGCTTGCTGCGTGACTTCGTGGAAGGTGGCCGGGACTCAAGAAGCTTGCAGCTGCAGGGCCTGGTGATGGAGCATTCTTGGGGGTTGCCGGGAACTGGGGGGGCTGCCTGGACCAAAGGCACGAGATGCTATGGAGATGCTATGGGGGTGGTCTGGACTCTGGGGCGGCTTGGCCATGGGTGGTGTCACTTAGGTTGCTTGGTGGTTGCTGGTCTTGGGCGGCGCGGGGCATGCTAGGGCTGTGGGCGGCGCAAGAGGCGTGGCAGCTACAGCAGCGTGCAGGGATGGCTGGGCGCCTAACAGTCGGTGCGGTGGCTCAAGCCCGACGGCCTAGTCGACAGGTTGGGGGGAGCCGCAGCGGGGAAGCACTCCATCCCTGCGTGTTGGAGTGGGGGGAGTGCGTAGTGAGCTGCAGCCCTTAAGGCGCCTTGCCGGCGTGCGTCCTTACCCCACCGCACACTCTACTTGTGAGTGTTGGGGCGGGCAAGGGGTGGGCATTATATATTGACCAGGTATAAGGTCTTTCAGACCCTAAACGGTGAGTCCAGGCAACTCCTGGGGTCCCTGACTTTTGGGGCTTCCGGTGGCCTTTGGGTGCCTCTTGGAGGGGCACAAACGACCCTGGATCCCGAAGCCTAAGCCCCTAAAGGGTTTAGGGTTTAGGGTTTAGGGTTTAGGGTTGAGGCTTTCGGGTTTAGGGTTGAGGGGTTCGGAAAACACACGCCCCTCCGCAGCCAGGTGCGGTCTAAGCCAGCCTCCATCCCCGCGGCTGCCTCAGAAGCTTTCAGCTTTCAGGGGTTTAGGGGTTTAGGGGTTAGGGGTTTAGGGTTTAGGGTTTTGGGTCTAGGGTTTAGGGTTAGGGTTTTAAGGTTTCAAGGAGTTTAAAGGGGGGGCTCAGGGTTTAGGTGGTTTCGTTTAAGGTTTCAAGGAGTTTAAAGGAGCTTTCAGGTTTCAGTGGGTTGGTTTCAGGTTTCAAGGAGTTCAAAGGAGCTTTCAGGTTTCAGTGGTTGGGTTTCTGGTTTCAGGTTTCAAGGAGGTTAGCCAGGGGGGGTTTGGGGTGTGTCTTGAGAGGATTTCGGTTTTTTTTGGGGGTTTAGGGCTGAAGGGGTTCTCGTTGTACTGATGTGTAGATTTCCGATTGGGCTGGTGAATCTTTCTGTGGCCTGGTGCGAGTTCTTCGGCTGCGAGCTCTGCTTCTGTTGGCTGAAACTGCCGGGACTGAGCCTCAACCCTAAACCCAACTTCCGAAACGCTCAACCCTAACCAACCCTTAACCCTAAGCCCTAAAACCGTAAACCCTAAACCCTAAACCCTAGACCCTAAACCCTAAACCCTAAACCCTAAACCCTAATCCCCACTCCCTCAGACCGGCTGCAGGTGCGCTCCAACTCGCAAGACGTGCTCTGGCAGCCCTTGTCGCCCAGGGAGAAAGTCCTCAAGTTCCAGGCCTGCGTGGCGTGGAAAGGGTTTAGGGTTTAGGGTTTAGGTTTAGGGTTTAGGGTTTAGGGTTTAGGCTTCAGGGTCGCGCTTTAGCGCTGCGCATAGAGACAGCACAGCGACGCGCGCCTGCTTTAAAGGAGGGCTCCTTGCAACCTCAGTTCTATTGTTGGAGTTCTCTGCTAAACCTTGTAAACATGCAACGGATGCCCTTTTGACTATTGGAACCTTCCATCTCTTCTCATGGTCGTGGTTGAACCCTAAACGCTAAACCCTAAACCCTAAACCCTAAACCCCTAAACCCCGAAACCCTGAACTCGAAAACTTGAATCCTCAATCCTTACCTGAAGACCGGCCCTGGGGATACAATCCTAAACCCGATGCCCCAAAGCTGCTTGGGAATGCTGTTGGAGTGATCTTGGCGTGGTGCTCTTGGGGTGCTCGTGTGCTTAGGAAGAAGTTTTCACAAAGTGTACAGGGTTTAAGGTTTAGGGTTTAGAGTACAGGGTTTAGGGTTTAGGGCTAGTCACCCCCGCAGGCCAGCATGTCGATGGGACAGCAGGGGCACCCAGTCTCTTCTTTCACCGTGGCCTTGCTCTTCTTCTGTGCGGAGAGAGGGGTTTAGGGTTTAGGGTTTAGGGTGTAGAATTAGGGTTTAGGGTTTAGGGTGTAGAATTAGGGTTTAGGGTTTAGGGGGTTGCAGGCGTTCTAAGTCGGGCTTACAGGGTTGTCTGGGCTTGTGCTCATGATGGCTCAACTTAGAGGGTTCATGGGTACTTCTAAGGAGGGTTGCTATAGTACCCTGAGCATGGGTGCCCTGCGTAGAGCCCCGCTTCTAAGTACCCATGGAACCTCCAAGAAGGGTTGAGATTGGGCTCATGCAGCTGCCAGCCAGCAAGACCCTGAACCATGAACATCTGGAAGCTTTCCCACCCCGAGCCCTGAACCATAAATCCTAAACCCTCCACCATAAACCCGAAGACCCAAGTCCTAAAAGCCCAGCCCTAATTACACCTAACCCCTGACCCCCAAACCCTTGGCCCTAAACCCTCAGTGCGAAGCCTTCAGCCAAACTCCACCCTCAAACCAAAAAGAAAAAGCCGGATTCTCGGTTTGGGGTTGAAAGAAGGATTCGGGTCCTTGCTTTGTGTGTCGGCCCAGGCTTATCCCGGAGAAGAAGGCCCAGGATCTACGGTTCCAGGGTTTACAATTTTAGTGACTTTAGTGTAAAGGTTTTTGGGCGTCAGGGATTTGGACTTTTATGGATGTAGGGTTTGGGGGTTTTAGAGGCCTCCCCCAGAAGCCTGGGACGGCATGCTGTCAGGTACATAAAATTCAGTCAATTGGCAATTTGGCCTCGAGGGGCTCTTTGGATCAATTTGCCTACGGCGCTTTTCGGAGCTTTCTTTGGGGGAGGGTGCTTTGCGCGGTGCCAGCTTGTTTAGACAAAAGCTTTGCAAATCAGAGTGATATCACATACATTTTCTTGTTTTGTCTTGAGGGTTTGGGTTTTGGGGGATTCTCTAAATCATGGGCTTGTTTGAGTACCTTGAATATTAGTATTAGGCTTCATGCTGGAACAGGATCCCCACCAGAAAACATATCTTGGTCTTGGCGAATTTCTCCCACATTCATGCGCGCGAAAAGAATCATCATATGAACAGCGCAACGGGAGCCATCACACAATGATCAGGGGGAAGAATCATCATCGTGATGCCGACTGTGAATCAGAATCAGACCAATCCAAGAACAAAAATCGCTATACATGCATATATATATATATATACATATACATATATATATATACATATATATATATATACATATATATATATACATATATATATATATATATATGTATATGTGATGTATATACATATACATATCTTATATACCCTATAAAGCTTAAGGGCCCATACTTCACAACCCTTCGAAAAAATGGTAAGGCACCGCCCTCAACCCTAAACCCCAAACCCTAAACCCCAAACCCTAAACCCTAAACCCTAAACCCTAAACCCTAAACCCTAAACCCTGAAGGGCCCACGTAGCAGCCCTTAGCACCAGGAGCTGGACCTGCGCCTCGGGGAGTTGGAGGCCGCGTTGGGCCTGCCGGCCGATGGCTCCGAGGCGGGGGGGCCACGGAGGGCTTCGGGTTCGTAGGGAGGGTTTAGGGTTTAGGGTTTGGGGTTTAGGGTTTAGGGTTTGGGGTTTGGGGTTTGGGGTTTAGGGTTTAGGGTTTAGGGTCTAGGGTTTCGGGTTGAGGCTTTAGGGTTTAGGGTTGAGGCGTTGGGGGTGCGCTGAACTGCTCTTCGCCGTAGGATTCTTCAGCCTATACGCCGCTTTGTACCCCAGAAACTCAAAGCCGCACCCTAAACCCTAAACCCTAAACCCTAAACCCTAAGCCCTAAACCCTAAACCCTAAACCCTAAACCCTAAACCCTAAACCCCAAACCCCAAACCCTAAACCCTAAACCCTAAATTAGGAATTCTAAGCCCTTGCACCCTGATCCCGGACCCTTACACCGCCACCTTACACCGCCGCCGTGCCCTAGGCAACCACAACGGGCCCACGCATGGATGAGTTGGATGGATCCCACGAGGTGGCCCTAAACCCTAAACCCTAAACCCTAAACCCTAAACCCTAAACCCTAAACCCTAAACCCTAAACCCTAAACCCTAAACCCTAAACCCTAAACCCTAAACCCTAAACCCTAAACCCTAGAAAAGACTGGGGGGGTACAGGGAGGGACCCCTAGAAGGTTCCCTGAATCTTATTCCCATTACGTAACCCATATACAGCCCCTATACAAACCTTGTAAGGGTCCCTATCTATGTACCTAAATGGCCCTTACCACCCCCAAGGTCCCTTATAAGGGTCCCTCCTTTAGTCCCTTAAATATCGGCTTCCGGAGCTGTGCTGAGTACGGGGCTTGGCGTGTCTAGGCTTGAGGAGCCTATGCCTAAACCCCGAAGCCTTGCAACCCTAAGCCCTGAGCCCGAAGCCCTAAGCCCTAAACCCTAAACCCTAAACCCCAAACCCTAAACCCCAAACCCTAAACCCCATAAACCCTAAACCCTGAACCCGACGCCCTAAATGGGGGCTTCGGATCTTTGGCTGCCTCTTGGTTCCATAAGTGCCAGTCAAAGCTCTACCCTTCGACCCCCAAGAGCCTCCAGACCGAAAAGCCGTCCCCTAGGTCCCTACCGTGAGGCCCGGAACAACCCTAAACCCTAAACCCTAAACCCTAAACCCCAAACCCCAAACCCTAAACCCTAAACCCTAAACTTTTAAACCCTAAACCCTAAGCCCTAAACCCCAACCCCCAAACCCTAAACCCTAAACCCCAAACCCTAAACCCTAAACCCCAAACCCAACAACCCTGTAGAGCTGCACGGGAGGAGGAGTCCCGACCCCAAACCCCGAAGCCCTCAACCCTCAACCCTCATCAGCCCTCAACCTGAAACCTAGTTTGGAGGTTCATGGTTACTTATCAGGGTTTAGGGTTTAGGGTTTAGGGGTAGTTCTAAGTAGGGTAAGTGGGGTACCTATGGTGATAACCCGGAATCAGGGTTCTGATACGCCTACTCATAAGTACCCATGAACCTCCAAGTACTTTTCCTTAAGAAGCCTCCAAACAGGTAAACCCTAAACCCTAGACCCTGAACCCTAAACCCTGAACCCTAAACCCTAGACCCTAAACCCTAAACCCTAAACCCTAACCCTAAACCCTAAACCCTTAAACCCCCCAAAACAGGACGAGGATGCCGAGCCCGAGTTGCGATGAGCGGCCGAGCGCTGCTCTTCTGCGTTTCTTTGTGTCGCAGGGCGGGGGGTTGAGGAGTCTGTGGCTTCGCCCTAAGCCCTAAGCCCTAAACCCTAAACCCTAAACCCTAAACCCTAAACCCTAAGCCCTCAACCCAGGAGCGTTTTAGGGGTCAGGGTTCAGGGGTGTTGGCACCTTGTGCCCCACCGCGCATCACAGGTGTTTGGCTTTTTGTTGTGGGGTTGAGGGGCAGACTCCGAGGGTTTCTGGGGTTTAGGGTTTAGGGTTTAGGGTTTAGGAGTTCTCAGGATTCTCGAAAGGATTCTGAAGTAGGGGGTTCGAGTGGTTTGGGGGGGGGTTTGGGGGGTTCTAGGATCCTAAGCCTCTGACCCAAAACCCAAAACCCAAAACCCTAAACCCTGAACCCTAACATCCTCAGCCCTCGACCTGCTGCTCGAAGCCCCGAACCCTGACACCCGAAGCGCTGCGCTTTTCGAGGTGTGCCGCCACCCGGGCCTGCGGTGTCCTTTTGCATTCTGTAATTTGTCTCGGACACCTGCAGGAGGGGTTTCTTCACGATATCTTCTTTTTTACAGAAGCCCTAGACCCCAAACCCATGTATATGTATATGTATGTATATATATATATGTATGCATGTACCTAATATATAGTGTAATGGAATATCTTGCTCCTTCTAGTAGGCCTCAGGCCTTCAAGCCTTCAACCCCCCAGCCCTATTGCATGCGGGGAGCTGCCCCCCCTGTCGCTGTCCTCAAATTTGCCTTTTTTTTGGAAAAGAGCGGGTGTGCATCGGATGCCCCTCAGCCTCTGGCTACATAGCTCAGGCACAAGAAGGGTTTCTGAATCATTCTTGGGGGGCCTAAAGCCCTAAACCCTACAACGGATGGTCATACCAAAGTTGTGGTGGTAACAAAAGAGTTCCCTCTTGGGGATGCCAGGAAGAAGCCACCCTTCGTGAGGGACCCTGCTTTTTGTCCATGCTGTGCAGGGGCCTAGGGCTTGGGGTCATACTTGTCAGACTTACCGGCTGGAACAATGCACAGATACTCCGCGCTTTTTCAGAGCTCTGGGCTCTCTTGCGGCACTAGTTCTACCTTCCAATCCGGGCCCCCAAAAACCCTAAACCCTAAACTCCAAACCCTAAACTCTAAACCCTAAACCCTAAGGCCTAAACCCTAAACCCCCAAACCCTGAACACAAAAGTTGGCTTTCCATTACCGCCGGCTCGCGATGCCAGACCGCCTCGAAGTAGTCCGATCTTGCCACGCGCGGGCTTTGACAGATGTAAAGCATGCCCTCTACTCAATGGTTCATGGGTGCCTATAATTAGAGTTTAGGGTTTAGGGTTTCGGGTTTAGGGTTTAGGGTTTGTGACCCCAAAGCTCTGAACACCCAAGCCCGCCACACAAAAACCTCAACCTCAACCCCGAACCCAACACCCAAAACCCTGCACCCCCCAATCCTTTCAAATCCTAAGCCTGCTCTTCAGAAAGCAAGCCCTAAACTCTCCTTCTAAGCCCTACCCCCCACACCCCCTCGGTGCGCCCCAGCAGCTGGCAATGTCGCACCGGAGCAAACCTGCACCTGCACAGAAGGTGCAGCTGACACTGTGGGAGCTGCTCTGGATGAGGGTTTTTGGGGCTTTGGGGGTTGTAGGGTTTAGGGTTTAGAGCTTAGGGCTTTCGGGGTTTAGGGTTGGAGCTTAGGGTTTTCAGGGCTTCGGGGTTTGGGATTTCGGGTTTTGCAGGTTCAGTGTTTGTGGGTTCAGTGTTTGAATTTAGGTCTGGGGTTTAGGGATAGCCAGGTGCGCAGTCACGGAAAAACCCCCCTTAAGCCTCAACCCCCCAAACTCCCCAAAACCCTCGTTCAGAGCAACCCCCTGGACTGGTTCGGCCCATCTGTGCGGTTCAAAAAGCGCGCTCTCGAAAGGGGGGGACTCACTAAAGCGCGGGGGTACCTCCCCCCATAGAGTCCTTACCACTTTGGGTCTGCGGTTCTGTTGGGGAGCACCCTAAACCCTAAACCCTAAACCCTAAACCCTAAACCCTAAACCCTAAACCCTAAACCCTGAACGCTAACCCGTTTGGGAATGTGTGTGGGGGGCACCCTGGGCTGTGCTTGAAGGCTTGCCTGGAGGTTCATCGGGTGCTGATAGGTAGGGGAGCTGCAGCTATTTTGGGGTAGAACCTTTTTCGGGTACTTACAGCCCGACTTATAAATCCAAGTAGGGCTCTGGTTTCAAGACGCGTGGTATTTTGGCTCGGGTTTCGAGGTTCGGCCTAAACCCAAAACCCTAAACCCTAAAACCTAATTCCTTAGCCCTAGACCCTAAACCCTGCTGTCGGGTCAGGGTCTCGGGTGAAGGGGTTAGGGCTGGATCCCAGCGTGAAGCCCTGACCACACCTACAGTCCGAAACGCTCCCTCTGTGAAGGGGGGCGCCCCAAAAGCTAAAGCAGTAGGGGGCGACTTGGGGGCGACTTGGGGGGTAGTCTAAGCCCCAAGCCCCGAAACCCGAAGGCTCACCCTTTTTGTTTTTTTTGTGTGAGGGGGGCGGGCATGACGATGTCTCTCAGGCTCGAGGATGAGGATGCGGATGTGAGGGCAGCCGCCTCGCAGGCAGTGGCTGCCATGGCTCGAAGGTGTAAACTCCAAAACCCTGAACGCCTCTAAACTCTGAACCCTGAACCTTCAACGTGCCCTAAATCTTGGGATGTTCCCCCTTTCTACTAACAGTCCTGAATGGGGATTTTAGAAGGGGGAACATGCCAACCTAACCCCATCTAACCCAAGCCCTATGGCAGGTTTGCAGGTTCAGGGCCCTCCGTGCCTTTCCTTCTCTCCAACTTCGGGGGTTTAGGGTTTCGGGCTCAGGGCGGGTTTGGGATTTTGGGTTTTTGGGTGGGTTCGACACTACTAAATGCCCTCAACCTTTGAAACTGAGGCACTTGAGTCAGTTGAGGTACTTTAGAATGAGGCACTTGAGACACTTTCAAGTGAGGCCTTGAGGCACTTTCAAATTTCAGGCATTTGAGACACTTCACAAATTGAGCACTTGAGGCACCTCGTGGAGCATTTTAAAATTGAGTCACTTAAGTGAAACTGTCTCAAGTGCCTCAGCTTAAAACAGCCTCAACTGCCTTCGAATTGACTGTGCCTTAGTGCCTCAATGTAAATGTGCTTCTATTTGAATGCCCCAAGTGTCGGAGTTGAACAAAGCTGATGGCTTCACACAAACACGAATCCCTAAACCCTAAACTCCAAACCCAATCAATCGCAAATCCTAAGCCCCACTTCATGGATACAGCAAGCTGATTCCCTCTCTTACCTATATAAATAAAGATATAAACAAGTAAATAGAAATATAGACATAAATAAATAAATAAATATAAATAAATAAATAAATAAATATATATATATATATATATATATATAAGGGTACAACCTTGGGGGGTCCAGGGTATGAGTGCCTTGATTAGGGAGCCATGAGGCAGAGTGGAAGGCTTTTTGGCCGAAAGCCGAGTTGGCGCCGCCCTAGTTTTGAGAAGGGCCTAAAATCTGCGGCGCCCGGAGTCCCCAGAAGAGTCCCGGCGCAAACCCAGACCGCCCCACGCTCGAGAACCGAGCATTTGCATGTTTGTGGAGCTCCGTATTTGATGTTCAGAGTTGCCCAAGCTCAAACCCCAAGCGTCAGGCCGACAAATGATCCAACAGCTAACACTAAGCATGCCGGAGGGCATGGGCGGCCCGGCTGAGCAGGCGCCACAACGCCAGGGCCAGGCCGCATCCCTGCTGCCTGTCCTGATGCCAGCCCCAGCAGGCCAGACAGCGGGCACGCCACAGTCAGGTCGCGAAGGCAAGAGTGGCGGCAGCACCTCAGGCCTGGGCCAAGGCTGCGAGCAATCACAAGGTTTTGGGATTTTGTAGCTTAGCATCTTGGGTTCGAAAACGCTGTTGCCCCTCCTCGTTTCCCTCCATTCCCTGCGAGCGAGCCATGAAAGCGAAGCATGAACCCACAGGTTTGACGCCAGAACCTGTGTCTAGAAAACTCAAACTTGGAGATGACGAAAGCATGGACGTGAAGGAAGATGAGAACCGCAAAGAGAAAGAACAGGCGCAAGATCCAGAGCTCCAAGCACTGAAGGTTCAATCTGCCTATTTGCTCGCGCAACATGCCGACATGCTGCGTGAAAAAGCTCGCAAAGAAATTGTCTGATCTCGAAGTACAAGGATCAGACACGTGGAGATGCTCTTTCCCCAACTATGGTCGTCACCGTCACCCAGCCATGGCAGAGAAGCAAACTCTTCGACTACACCAAGAAGCGTGCAGTTACGGACAAGCTCCAGGAACACTTCTACATCAGAGACAAAGAAGAGCAGGATTGGGATCGCGTCGTCAAGACGTTCCCTACCAAGTCTGAAAGTACAGCCACAAATCAGCCTTTAGGACAGACTTACCGGTTTACCCCTCAAGATTGCGATGCAGGTGCTTGAGATATCCAATGTCGAGTTAAGTTCAAAGACAGCTGGAGAGAACTTACACTCGCCCAGAACGACTCCGGTCAATACATCATCTGGATCCATTACTCGCCTGAAGACAGTGCAGTGATCGTCTATATTGAGCGAGAAGCACACTCCAGACACGCCTTCTCAAAGATCTACGAGACCAACTTCAATGAGATCCTCGATGGTGGCAACAAGCAAAAATGAAAGGGGAGAGGAAAAGCAGAAATGCCGACGTCGGCGCCAGACAAAGAAGCCGGACCCCTGCCTTGGACTCACGCTTCGCACGCAAGGTACTCCAAGCTCCCACTCGCTTTGACTGCGACGCTTGACTCCGACAAAGACAGTCACTGGGACTCGTGGAAAACCTTGTGACCTTGTGGACTTCAACGACAGAACGTGCCCTCCCGAGGTACTATCTGGGTACTCTCAATCAGTGTGCGCAGACAAGCTGGACAGACAGACGTCGCGGTCTTGACCGCAAGGCGTCGGGCGGGCA